ATTGAATTTTTGTGATAAATACTATTATTGATGAAAATAATTGAATTTTGCAATGATTTTTACTAAAATTTCTGAAAATTATTCATTTTAGTTAAAGAATTTTGCTATTATTTATAAAGATAATTGAAATTTTGACGACAATTTTTTTTAGTTTTTTTGAAAATAATTGAGTTTCTGCGAAGAATTTTATTAATTTTGAAAATAACTGCATTCTTCTGATAAATATTGTTATTCATAAAAATAATTGAATTTGCAGTGAATTTTATAAAAATTCTTAAATATAATTGAATTTCGTCAAAGAATTTTGCTATTCATTTATAAGGATAATTTGAATGTTGACGGGAAATTATTTTAACTAAAAATAGTTGAAAAAAATAAAGATGATACAAAACTATATACTGGAAAATTCAACGTAACTGAAAATCAAATCACATGAGAAATAAAATTAGAATTTCATATTAACTGAACTATCCATGTTTATAAAGTTGTTAAATCTTTCCTCCGTAACCGAGCAATGAGCAAAATTTATTAAAACACGAGTTGTTTGTTTCCTCCTGCATTCTAATTAATTCATTTATCTTGAAGTATCTCTCTTTATTTTTCTATTGATTCATAAGGAGATAAAGCAAGATATTTTAATTTTATTTTCTAGTATTAAATTACCCACTATTGTACATCACTATACAGATTCCTTTCTGTAACCGGTTACAAAATAAAAGTCGTGTATAAAATTTCATCAAACGTAGGTATTTAAAAAGTAATGCCTAATTAAGCAATACTTTCATTGATCTTTTAATTTTATATTTGTTCTTTAAGCTTTTATTATTTATTATTTATACCCTCTTAAAGTTTTAATTACACCTTTATTTTTATGCCTAATTTCGCCCTTTGTTGCCAAGGTCTAAAATTGAAAAACTTTAATTTAAATTTAATTTTTAATTTAAATTTTTTCGAAATTAAATATGGGGACATTCTTAATAACTAAATTATTGTTTTAGAAATAAAAGTATTGAAAAAATGATAAAGTTTAATAATTTCTAGTAAAACTGACTAACGGAGAAAAAAAAATATAAATTATCTGAAATTAAAAATTAGAAAAGTATGACCTAAAAAAATAAATATAAATAGAAGTGTATAATAAACAGGTAGGTATACTAATCGCTGCGTGGTATGACACATGAGAATAAACGATTAAACGGTACGAATAGCGGAAAAGTCACGTTAAAACAGCAGTGTTGCCCACTATCATTATAGTGGTGCAGCATAACGTTAAATTCACATGAGTGGACTTTCGTTATTGTTGGTAATATTTTTTCTGAGTACAGTTTCGTTTTATCAAGAGTTTGTTTTTTTTCATAAAAAAAGAAACTCTATAACATGTATAATACCTTGTAAGTCTGATTTATACACTATTGTTTAAAAATATGCACTCTCAAAACTAATTTTCAACTTAAGAACATATTTTTTAAAGGTCTATTAATTAAAAATATCAAGTCATAAATATTTTTTAATTGCTTGAAAACTGCTCCTTTCTAATATTTAGTAATTGTGAATTTATATTTTACTATAAAAGAAGAAATTTATGGGATAATATATTGAGAATATTTTCAAATCCGGCTGGATTCGAAATTTTCATTATCGGATTTGTTGCGGTGGTTACAATTATTATAAATATAGCGGTTAATTTAAAAGAAAAAATTTTTTTTATTTGGCCGCTAATTACGAAACTGGAGTTATTAAAAAAAATTCAAAATGTCGGACAAATTTCAAATTTGATCAAATTCGCTTGAAACTTGTTACTCGGGGGTTTTTAGGGTCGCAGATTACGAAACTGGTGTTATTTTTAAAAAAATTCAAAATGGCGGTTGCAATATGAAGGAAAAATTTTCAAAATTGATGCGAAAACACTATTTTGATTGAACCGAATTGTCAGTATTTGAGGCACAATATAATTTCTCCAAATATTCTAAATTTTTTTAAGTGAATCAGGTGCAAATATAAAATGTAAATTGTCTTCATAAATTAAATAATTTTTAAACAATCTTTAGTCGCAATTTAACCGCAAGTAAAATTTCACAAAAAGTTATCCGAAAGTAGCACAAAACTGATGATTGCAAATGAGTTATTGAGACAAACAGTGAAAATTATAAGAATAAAGAAATGAAAATTATGTCCGTTCTACATTTTCGCTATTGTTAGGACTTTTTAAAAGAGATAGCAGGTATCTTCATTTTTATGATTTCCTTACCTTATGATGTAATTTTCCAATTTGTCATGAATTTAACAATTGAAAATGCATTTGTAAAAAAAATTTCAGTTTGCAGTATACGAAAATATGAAATATCTCATAAAATATCTACAAACTGTTTTTTACAGTGTTTCACAGTGTTTGAAACATTTGAACGAAGATATAAACTTTTAATGAATTTTACGTTTGTAAATAACTAATTTTATTTATATTTTCATCCATACCTAAATCAAGGATTAATCGCAAAAAGTTTTGTTCGGATTACAAAATTTAGGTAATATTTCAACTCCCAACTCGTGAACTTTAAGTATAGAAATAATGTTTTATTCCATATTAATAACTCACCAAATCAGTTAATTTTATCATAAAAGTGTTGTATGTTTATGGCTTATATAATGATTTTTGCGAAAGATTTTTTATTGGTCAGATAAAATTGTTTAAAACTTATAATATTCATATACAATAGTATTATTTATTTTCTAGAAGTGAAAGTTCCATGGAAATGCTCCAAAGAAATTCCAAGTGAGATTCCACTTTGAATGCAAATTTTTTTATTTTTATTCGTTCGGATTTAAATTTAAATAATATTGACTGTTTTCAATTTTTAATTCTTCAATTTGTATTAAGATTAAATTCGCAAACGTTAATTTTCAAATATTGTCTGTTGGCAACAATTTCAAGTTTTTTTTTCGAAAAATTTTTGAATTATAATTTGAATTGGAATGAAAATGTCAAGTGCAGGGCTGCAAGTGAATTTTAAAGCATTTTTTGTGTAATTTTCAATTCCAAAACTCTTTTTTCAAAACAAAATTATTTAACCCCTTTTTTTAAAAAAATATAACCTTATTTTTCAATTTTTACAGAAATATTTTTACAGAAGTAGGGGTTAAATAATTTTTTTTTTAATATAGTTTTGTAATTGAAAAGTACACAAAAAAACTTTAAAACTCGCTATATAAAAATTAAAATCGCTTTATTTTTCTAGAAGTTATGCCAATATGAATAAAAAAATGTCCTTAAAAAAACCAATTTTTTTGATTGGATCAGTTCACGTGGAATTGCTTCATTTTAAAACCATTTTAAAGCCGCCACTTTGAATTTTTTAATTTCCACCAAAGATTTGAATTCATCGACCCAAAAAACATAAAATCATGTTTCAAAAAAAAAAAAAATTACAAAATATTTTATTTTTGAATAATTTCAAATTCAAACTTTAAAAAAATTCAATAATTATACTAATTTACTAATTAATTATTCTTGTTTATTAATTTCAAAAATTTTAATAACATTCTTCGTAAGAATTCAATTATTTTTATAAATAGTAAAATTTTTTGCAAAAACTCAATTATTTTTAAACAAAATTTTAATTAAATTTCACGAACGAATACAATTATTTTCTAAAATTTTAATAAATCCTTCGAAACAATTCAATTATTTTTTTAAATAGTCAAACTTTTGCAAAAAATTAAATTTTTTCGACAAAAAATATTTCAAAAGAATTCAGTTACATTTCTAAAATTTTAATAAATTCTTTAAAACAATTTAATTTTGTTTATAAATATTAAAATTGTTTGTAAAAATTCAATTATTTTTAATATAATTTCAATAAAATTTCATGAAAGAATTCAATTTTTTTAAATAGTCAAATTTTTTGCAAAATTTCAATTATTTCCAAAAAAATATTTCAAAAGCATTCAATTACATTTTTAAAATTCTAATAAATCCTTTAAAACAATTTAATTTTATTTATAAATATTAAAATTCTTTGTAAAAATTCAATTATTTTTATTTTTAATCCAATTTTAATAAAAATTTCATGAAAGAATTCAATTTAAAAAAAAAAAATTTTTATAAATCCTTCGAAACAAATAAATTATATTTTTAAATAGATAAATATTTGCAAAAATTCAATTATATTCAAAAAAATTTCACGAAAGAACTTATTTTTTTCTTAATTCGTTACAAAAATTTCAATAGAATTCAATTATTTTTCAAAATTTTAATAAATTTTTTGAAAAAGCTTATAAATAGTAAAATTTTTTGCAAAAAGTCGTTTATTTTTAATACAATTTTAATAAAATTTCAAGAAAGAATTCAATTTTTTAAAACTTTTAATAATATTTTTTAAAAAAATTAAATTATTAAAATTAATTATTAATTATTAAAATTGAATTATTTTCAAAAATTTTGACAAAACTTTTCGCGAGAATTCAATTATTTTCCTAAATAATAAAATTCAATTATTTAAAAGTGTTTTGATAAAATTTTCTGTAGCAATTCAATGATTTTCAATACATTAATTTTAAAATTGAAAATATTTAAAAAGAAAAAGTATTTAAAAAGTTAAGAAACAAAAAAGCAAACAACATTTAACTTGAAACTGCGAACAGATTATCGGAATACAACGATTATTAATTATAGATTTTTTATTTCATTATTATTTTATTTTTATTATGAAATTACGAACGTAAACTGAAAATTTTGATTTTTTCTTCTGAAATGAATTAACATGACAATTTAAATAGTTGCTTATAAAATTATTAGTCATTACCCTCTGGGTAAAAAACATTTTAACAACATGCGGATCTTCAAATAATATTCCAGAATATTATTTTGCCAAAAAAAAAAAAAAATTTTTGTTTTATATTGTAATAAATTTTTTTACATCCGATGTTGAAGTTAATTTTCCCCTATTTTTTCCTTTCTTTCTGCTTTGATCCATCTTAACAAAAAAAAAATGTTTTTGTTCCAGGTTTAGAAACTTTTCATTTTTTAATGAAATCATCATTGAGGAGAAAGAGACAATCCCCATGAATCGGACTTGTCGAAGAGTGACAAATGTAAGCAGGATCGTAGAGGAGAGTTGTTTCATGTAGCGAATAAATTGGAGGCAGCGTGAGTAGTGGAAATAACGAAAAGGTGGAAAAATATTGCTGATGATAAGATGACTATCAGGTTACTGATGCGCGCGGTGTTCCTACTTTTGTTGGGATTGGCGACCCAATGGATGGAGACACGTGCTCATGTTGCTCTTACGTTTCCACCAGCTAGGAAATATGACCTCGACTTTCTGGACAACTCTAGAACACCTGGCCCATGTGGCATGCCTCGAGGTTAGTTTACTTATTATCAATCATGCAATATAATAATGTAACAGATACCTCGCAGGTTGCAGAAAAACTTCCAATGTTTAAATAGAATTTCAATTATTTCTAATAATTTTAATTGGCAGGTTTATTTTCTAGGACAGATAGCTATAATTTACTGCTTTTTTTTCCTTCAAAGAACTAAAATGTAAAATCTTCTGGTTCTTTTTTTTTAATTACAAAAAAACTACCCTTCGAGGCAAAAAAAAAAGGATTATAAAAAATATTTACAAGAACTTTAAAAATATTTCGAAGACAGATGATGAAAGTACGTTCCTGATGAGAGAAATTTTTAATACGCCCGGGGTGTGAAAATTTTGCGTCCTACAATTCTGGAAGGCAGCTCTCTTTTTTTTTAGGCATGAAGTAGCACCGTTTTGGTAGAGACATGCTTGTCCAAAAGAACGAGGCTTGTACGTTTGGTTCGATCACTTTCCCAAAAGTGGAGGAACACACGCACCAATCATTTCCCCGCTAAAGTGTGTTACCCGATCGTTGCAATGAGGAATCTTCGGTGAAAAAAAAAAATATTACCGTACTTACAATTTATCGTATGAATAAAAATCTTAAAACCAAAATTGATGGAAAAAAAATAAACTTGGGGTATAATGTAACAAAATTGTTGATTTCTAAAATTTTCTTCTCTGGTTTTTTTTTTATATGAGAGAATGAATACGAAAAGTCCACTTGTAATCTATGTAATTAATAGAAAGAAGGAAATTCTGTAACGAGACAATCCAAACGAAAGCTATTCTACATATATGGAGCCTTATGACCATGTGTCGAGGTTCTTCGCACTCTCAACAGTGAAAGTTGCTTTGAATCTGGGTCCCCACTTTTGCTTCATGTTGTTCTCACATATAAACAGAATCAAAGTATTCAAGTATTTCACAGACTATACGATTATGTAGATTTACAATTTCTTATGCATTTCAAAAAGCAGAACAACTCGTTTTTTGGAACAAAAGCTCAATCTCCAATATTATAAGAAAATGAGAAAAAAAATTCATTGGTGTTTTACTGTTATAAAAGTTTCATTAACTTTCCCGAACAAAAAGTAAATGGGAAATTTTCAAAATTGAGGAAAAATTAATTTTTCTATACTCAAAAAAATTTCTAGTAGATTTGACTCCTTTTCGACTACTCTGAATAATTCAATAAGTCCTTAACTGAATTTAAGGCGGAGTGAAGTAAAATTCACTTTTTTTTAATTTAAAAATTATTTTTAAAAAATAAAAAAATTTTTTTTTTTTATTTTTTTAATTAACAAAAGTGTCGACGTTTCGGGTCGGTACCGACCCGAAACGTCAACCACTTTTGTTAATTAAAAATAAAACAAATTTTTTAAATTAAATAAATAAAAAAAGTTTGTCAGAATTTTTTTGTAAAAAATGCGTTGATGAAAATTTTTGAAAAATTGTAATACTTTTTGAAAAAAAGTACTTTCACAGATTTTAAGAAATCAGTATAGATGACTTTCTAAATATTTCAATTCATTCAAATTCTATGGGAATTATTCTTCTACTTCTCTTCCAAAAAGATATATTATGAGAATTTAAATGTGAATACTAATGTATATTCTAATTTGATCTTCGATATCTTATTTAATATTTTTTTAGTACAATTTGTGAGAAAGGTTATTGCCCTATATATTATTTATTTAAACGTCAGGGAATTTTGTGACAATAAATTATACAGGGTACTAAGGGTCGCTATTTTAAAATTCAAAATGGCGGATTAAATATGGCGGACGACGTTCTAATAAATACATTTAATTTATATTATAAACTTGGCATTATGATACGAGCGCTAAATAGCGTACACATTCTATGTTAATTTTATTAAAATATTAATATTAAAATTTAAAAAAAATAGTTTAAGAAGAAATTAATTAACGTAAATAGGAGAGCAAACACTGTAGAGAAAAAAAAAAGAAAAAATTAATAAAAATATAAAATTCATAATTTTTTTTTTTGAAATTAATGAAAGTTTTTTTGAATTAATAAAAAATAATATTTTTGTGGTGGAAGATACTCGCGTACACTCTAGTTCGATAACTATATAGTGAAAAAATACTAAATAATTAATGGTTATTACCTAATTATTATATAATACTTACTTAAAAAGTCGTAATATTGCATTTTTGTTAAAAATTTGTGAGAAAGTAATAAATATTAAACAATAAAATACTAAATTTTTGTAAAAGAAAATATAGTTGAGAAATTAAAATTACGAAAATTATTTCCCCTTATAATAAAAAATTTTTTTTATTAATTTTTATATTAATTGTATGAATTTTCTTTTCAGGTGACACGAAGACTACCCTGTTGTCCGGAAATAGCCTAAATGTGACATGGCATCTTGCATATCCTCATAAAGTAAGTGTAATTCTTAGAATTTTTTGTCACAAAAAAATTATAAAAAAATGATGATGTGTAACAGTTGCAGTTTGTTAAACAATTAACAACATAGTTCTAACACTGTATTTTTAAAAAAAATTGTGTCAATGTTCTAGTATATATTCTATACAACAATTCAGTTCTGGGCACTTGCCCTAAGCAACGCTTTTCGATAATTTAGCGCGAAAAATTCATAAGGAGAAATTTATTGAAAATAATATAAATATTAAAAAATGAATATAGCCAAAACGAATCTAAAAAATGAATAATATTGATACATCTTAAAATTTCAAAGTATAATCCTCTATTACGTATGAAAAAATAAATCGACACAATTGTGCTTGTTAAGGATGTGTCGACGATTGTGTCAAATCGCCATTAAATAGTGTTAAGTCGATTTGTTCTTACATAATGCAAGATTGTACTTTGAGTCTTAAAGAAGGTGTCAACATTTACTGCGGCATATTAGATTAGCGCGTGCGATTGCACCAAGAGTGAATTCTTCAAGTCAGCTCCTCAAAATTCCAAACTTTCACATTGCTCAATATATTTTTGGAGTCGTTGATTACAAATATATATTCGATGTCAGTTTTCGAAAACTTAAAATGATGATGAATCAAATATTGAAAAGGATAGGTGTAATTTGGAAAGTTGAGCTAAACATCAAACCTCTAATCACTGCCTCATAGAAACGACGATCGATACAAAAAAAAAAGATTTCAATTGCGAGGATGTAAACAACTTTTTTTCTCAATTTGCAGAAACATTAAAAACTATCGAGCAATTTTATGAATCATTTACGTAATGTTACCTTGATATGAAAATATCAATGTATAGTTTCAAACTTTGCTTCTTTTAATTTAAAAAAAAAAAAAAATAGATTTTTGAAACTAGAATAAAAAACTAAAAATTAGATCCTTCTTCATAGTCAAAATTTGAATTTTGCATAATTTAAATAGCTTTCAATGTTTTGAAAGAAAAAAATGTTAATTAATATATTTTAGTAGATCAATGACTTTCTGTAGATAATAAAAAAGGGATGTCCGCATAAGTTCCTTCTGCGTTCGGTCGCTCAGGCTAATACCAGTCAAGTGGCACTGACCATCCGTAGGCTGTTCGCTACTTTAAGACTGGTATTAACAAGTGCAACCGCGCGCAGAGATAGTTGTAGAATCCAGGGTATCAATTACGGACAGTACAATACTACAACTATTACTATTCACCTTACATAGCACCTTAATGATAGCAAACGAATATTCAGTAAATTCTTCAATTGCCAATAGCCCAGAGGTTCAAAATAAAGGTGCGCCTCTTAGGATTGCGTATTCATGTATAAAATGTATATCTTACGTTCTACAATTCCGTATAAATATAAGATTTTCCAGATGCGTTTAATCGTTCTCAATATTCCAAATCGCCCATAATAGTAACATTAAAGTAATATCACTGCAATATATGTTGCATTTATTTGGTTATATAAAAAATCTCTTCCGAAAAATTAGTACTACCATGTAGAATAATTTACTTTAGTACAGAACTTTCTAGGAAAAGTTATTCCTTGTAATTTTACAGTTTGAAACTAAAAACTTTTCCACTTTTATTTTCCAAGAATTTTTAATACATATAATTGTTAAACAATTAAAAACAATGGAGTATTTAATTAAAGTTATCGCTATACCGAAGAAATAATTAAAACCATAACTTTAGATATAATATAATGGAGAAACTAAAACTGCTTGTGAATTTTTGCATGCCTCGTATAATAAGACATGATAAATGTTAAAAGAGTTACTTTGGAAGGCGACCATAAACTTACAAGGAGATATTTCTGGTAGATTCCAGGTCATAACGGTGCTGTTGGGTGGCGCGGCATTGTATTAGGTTTTAATAGGCAAGGAACTCCTCACCGACTTGAAGAAATTGTCATGTGTCGGTTAATCAGAATATTTCCGGCAACTACGGGAATTTAAATTATAGATGCCATGACCTTCACAGTGGAATGCGTTCTCAGCAGGTGGGGTACGAGATTCACAAGATGATACTTTCCAGGCGCAAAAAACCTGTTCTATAAATGCTCATCAAACATATAGTTGTCAGTGTTATAGAACAAGTGTTACAATACTATAATTGCTGGTATTATCTAACTTTAGTGTAAAAATAACAAAATTGTAAAGTTTAGTCACTTGTTCTTTTCAGCTAAATTTTACGTCTGTAAAGATCTAAAGTTGCGTCACAAGTAGACTTCAAATAAAATTACAAATGATGTTCGCAACTTTCATTACAACCTAGTTGTAAAAAACTGTTGGAACAATGTTATGCAACTTCAGAAATTAAATTCCATTTAATACCGAAAATGTTCTCTGATTTTTAATCTCACGTGTAGATTTCTAAACAGTGTAAATCTATGTTAGGAAAATAAAAAATGCGCAAAAAGAATCGATCCCCGCGGTTTTCCTTCTACATGCTCGTGAAGGTGACCAATTATCCATCGAGTACATATAACAGTAAACGTACAAAATGAAACTTATTGCATCAAACCAAAATGGAAATAAATGCGATTAAAAAAATCGAAATCTGTCCTCTGGAAAAATTAAACTTTACCATTTTTTTTACTTATGGCATTAAAAGAAATTAAAAAATGATAATTTCACTTTTTAGAAAATTTCCATTGTCATTTTAGACAAAATTATTTGGGTTTATATATAAGTTGGAGGACGAATGTTAAAAAAAAGTTTCTAGAAAAAAAAGTTTCAATAATTCTTTGTTCCAAACGCTAAAAGTTCCAATAATTTTTTGTTACCAAAACCAAAAAGTCCAATAATTTTTATTTCCAAATAGCAAAATGTCCATTTTTTTTTAATTCAGAAATTTTTTCATCCTGTATTCTGTCACTTCTAAGAATTACGAGAAACAAAATGGCGGCGGCCAAATAAAACAGCTGATCCACTTGAAATTTCATAATTCGTTTAAATTCCAAATTAATGAACATTGGAAATTACTGTAATTAAATTAAAAAGTAATTTTTTGATAATAAAGATAACCATCAGGAAAGAAACTATATCTATTGCTCTCCTTTATAAAATGCTCAATTATATAGAATTATGCACGCATGGGAACGCCGATTATATGGACAGTTCGGGTGTGTCCGAACAATCTGGACAGGTGACCTTGACGAAAATTCATGGGAAAAAATGTCAACAACCCCTCCCCTTCTCTCCGTGTTCCGCAAGAGTTGCCAGCAGAGTCCGTAAGACCAGTTTCCGTATAATTGGCGTTTTAGTGTAATCTATTAAATTAAAGTCATTTACACACTATGAAAGAAACCCCAAAAAAAACTTCGGAGTAACCTATTTTATGCAAATCCAAAAAATTCTTTCAAAATTAGTCCGCCATATTAGGTTCGATATGTTGAATTTTAAAAATTCAAAATGGCGGATTCTACGCATTATAAAAAAAGAAAAAAAGTTTTTTTATACACAAAATTGTTATTAACTTTTTTTTTGTATTAAATTCAAAAATATTTGAAGGATACCCCGCATTTGAATGGAATATGGAAATTTATACTTTATACAACCATGAGTTATCAGAGTGCAGACCCATGTTGATCAAAATATGTAAAGCAAAGCAGAATTTTCACGAGAGTGGAAAAAAGAGCCATTTTACTATCCTTCTTATTCTTATGAATAAATTCAGCTTTGTTATACGTTTCCTTTTTTTCTTTTTTAGACTTAATTTGAGCTGCCTACTTGTTAAGCATATAACACAAGAGAAGAATATTTCTTTTATTCTTACTCGTATTTTGAAATAACAAGTCAATCAAAAGTTTAATGATTATTATTTTTCTATAGAACCCTAATTAATAGAAGGTCATAGATACTATTCATAAAAAAGAATAAAAATAAAAATTTCTTTTGTGCCTTATGAGAATCTTATCCTTACTTTATAATCTATAATTTTAAAGAACATAAATAATTTAAATAATTAAAAATTTATAACCCTTGCTTTAAATTTATGTTTTCAACTTTCCTTAAAGATATAACTTTCCTTAAATTCTAATTTTATAACTTTGTTTCAGGGAGGATTCAGGTTACAAATTTTAGATGCATTGGATAGGCCTCTAATCGATCTTACACCAGTAACAGGCGCTAGTGAATTCGTCAAAGTTGATGCTACGTAAGTTATTTGTCAATACAATTAATCTTTATGGCTGCAGAAAAAAAGCAGCAAAATTACAGGAAACTTTCTGAAAATTCCTTGCAATCTTATAAGTTATTGTTAAACTATTGTACTTTTGCTGAATTTAAAAAATTTAAAGCATAAGCGTGACTGGATTTATCAGCATTTGATTAAAAATATTAAAACTAATTTCTAACATCCATCAAAATATTTTATATCTAAAATTATAATAGTTTCTTCTATGAGATGTGAATGCAAAAATAAATAAATTTGTTTATTAAACTTTTAGCGCACAAAGCTATCCTATCAAAATACCTCATAATTTCACTTGCACTGACTGCACAGTGAGATTACTTCGAGAGGCTGAGGAATGGGGTTCTTCTTATAGATTTTGGTCGTGTGCCAACGTTGATGTAAGTAAACAATTAAAATATAATTAAAAACAAATACACTTAATTTCATAAATTAAAACTGTACATTTATTTATGAATTTATTTTTATTGAAACGGACGCAGGACTTTAGAATTTATTTTGTTAGTACATAATTCATTTTTTGATGCAAATTGCTTTAATTGCGGTAGAAAAGCTGCAAAAATTGTTAAATAAACATATTTTGAATTTGTTTTATTTAATCTAGTTATGATTACTTTATTAGCATTGACATCTATTTGAATGCCTTAAGTTACAATCATATTTAAAAACGGATTTTGTTTTCAGATTGTTGATAGGAAAACTTATAGAGAACAATGTAGTGGTCACGGAAGGTATCTGTTAGGCAGATGCAGATGTGACTTGTTTTATCATGGTGCTAGGTGCCAGTACAAAGAAGAGTGCATGGATGACTCAGACTGTGGAACGCAAGGTGCTTGCATTGATAATGGTGGTACTACATCACCAACTAAATTTTGTTACTGCAACGTCGGTTGGTTCGGACCCGGTTGCGCCAAAAGTAAGTTTCAAAAATCAGTTTAATTAGCACAAAAAACTAATAGCTTATATTTTATAAAAATATAGCAATAGATCCGTGCACCAGCGCGTGTGCACATTCTATGTCAATTATCTAATCTACTGGAAGATCCGAACGTTGCAAAAAACGCCCGCATAAAAAAAAGAAAAAAAACCCTAATAAAAACAATGTATAAATGGCCTCTTTATTGTTTTAGAACAAGAAGAAAATATTATGAATTTTAGAAAATTTATGAATTTGATTCATTACAGGATCTGCCGTTAGAAATACAGATATAGATTTACAATCCTACACCAAGAAGCAATTCTCAGACGATTTCACCTTCTACTGGAGGATACTCAAGGACAGTCAGGAACTCGAGGGAGTCGCCGTGGTGAATGGCACCTCATGGGTTGGCGTTGGATGGAGACCCAGTTCTTTAACGTCAGCCTGCAGGGCATTTCCAGAAATTAAAGATAACCGCTCGGAGAATGTTGCTGCAGAACCTCTTCCACAACCGGAGCCAAAATCAGAGCCTGAGCCAAAATCGGAGCCTGAACCAAAATCAGAACCCGAACCTACTTCAGAGCCTGAACCAAAAGTAGAACCAGAATCAAAAGTAGAGACAAGAACTTCAGCGGAACCAAAGCCGAAACCAGTTTACAGGAAGCAGTCAAGGGGGACTCCCTTTAAACCCAATGTTCCAGCACTGAATAATGAGCCTGAAGCTGAGCCCGAAAATGCCTCTGTCCGAACAGGTGGAACTAAGAGAAGGTCAGCGAAAGTCGATGGCGTTACTCAAAGACCTGATTCTGATATCACTGTACAAACTAGTGTAACGTACCATGTCAGCACAAAGCAAGGTGAGACCATTGTATTACTTTTTTTGTAAATTATTCAAAAATACATTAAATATTTATAATAATCGGATTGTGTAGATATTAATCTACCTTATTAAATAATTACTGAAGCAATTTTTTTGGTATGCTGCTAACTAATCAGAAGTTTTACTTCATTCTTTCAATAATTTAATATTCACATCTTTAAACTTTGATACATTTTTGGGATACCCCATTTTTGTTAGATACTTATAAAATAATTGAAGAATACCTTCAACTAATTAATTTTAACAGGTCATATCTTCAATATGATTAAAATTAGAAATGAACGTGCCGAAACATATTTTTCTGCTTTACTACTCATCAACTTGACATACCTTTTGTTAGATATACACGTGACTATGATATGACTTACGCGAACTTTTCCATATTCTATTTTGATTACATCCACAATCTGGAACTATCCTCAATTCTTAAATAAATTCAGAAATAATTCCCCAACAAAGATTTTTCATGTTTTCATGTATGAAAAAGCTTTACCCTTTTACTAATAAGTAAATAACATTTAATATTTTTCAGGACGTAAAAAACGAGCACCACAGGCAGAACCGGAACCAACAGGTAAACATTTCAATCGTATTTAAAAACTAATATTATTAATAATAGTAATAGAAATTAAAAAACGGAACAAACATTCTTTACTTTCTATTTCCATTATAATCTAGTGCAAAAATTTGCAAGGTATGTTATGAATTTTAATAAGCAAGGAAGAAAAGTATAAATAATTCCGCAGTCTCTTTAGCATATAAGATATACTCGTTTTCAAATGCATAATTATCAAAACGCGTGATATATAATGTGCAGTCTCTAGAAATTATTGTCCTTTGAAACTGTTACTTTCTATATGACAAAGTAATGAGCACCTTTAATTAACAGAATGATTCGAAAATAATAATATAAATTATGGTGCATGTTATTATAAGCTTCTAACAGCGCTTAAACGATGAAGTAATTTTTACTGCAGAATGATATTTCTACAGAAAGCAATTTTTCATTCAGCAAACTTATATTTACAATAATATTTCTTCTATTTAACTATAAATATTTGATTTATTTAATATAAAGTAATATCTTTATATTACACTGCCAATGTTGATCTTACAACTTAAGAGAACAGTGGCATCTTAAAAGGTTTTTGTTAACATTTTAAAATAATTTAAAGTAACATGCACTAGTAGTTAAATAATTTTATCACAAACAAAATCTAAACTAGGATGCACTGGAACGTTGACTACAGTAATTGCACTTATTGACGCAATAACTGACCACTGATTATTTAAAATTTTACTTGTACCTTTTTGATTTGAATTGTACCTGTTTAATACAAATTGCATTTGACATAAAATTATTTTAACTATCATAAACAGGTCTATTATCAGTACGTCAAAAATAAAGATTCTCTATTAAAAAAATATTTCTTACACAAACAATTCTTATTAGGATTTAAATAAAATTTTTTGTTAAATTTATCACTTCTTTTACTTTACTGATGCATTTATCGAAAGCAATTAAATGAGATACAAACTTAAATATTAATCACTTTTAAATTAATTTGAATTATTAAAAAAAAACACTGGGACATGGGATGGTTTTAGAACATTTTTAGGACGCCTATAACCTAAGACATCTTATGCTCCAGTGTTCATTACGCAGCTTTCCTTATCAAAAAAAAATTTTTGATTTTAGAATCTCATTTAAATGTCTTTCGATATAACTTTGTAGAGTAGGTCACTAATGACTTTCACAGGGTGAAGGTATAAAACAGCATGCTATTGCTTTGTTGCACAGGGGAACCAGTTAGTGGGCCTATAACTCACAAAGTCGAGCCTGAGCCTAATTCTGAACCAGAACCCAAAACAGGACGAGAGTTAAAATCTGAATCAGAACCTAAATCTGAACCTGAACCAAAATCTGAACCTGAACCAAAATCAGAACCAGAACCAAATTCTGAACCTGAACCAAAATCTGAACCAGAACCAAATTCTGAACCAAAATCAGAACCTGAACCAAAATCTGAACCAGAACCAAAATCAGAACCAGAACCAAAATCAGAACCTGAACCAAAATCTGAACCAGAACCAAATTCTGAACCTGAACCAAAATCAGAACCAGAACCAAAATTAAATTCAGAGCCTAACTCTGAACCTGAACCAAAATCTGAACCAGAGCCAAAATCAGAACCTGAACCGAAATCTGAACCAGAGCCTAAATCTGAACCTGAACCAAAATCTGATTCAGAACCTAACTCTGAACCTGAACCAAAATCTGAACCAGAACCTAACTCTGAACCTGAACCAAAATCTGAACCAGAGCCTAAATCTGAACCTGAACCAAAATCTGATTTAGAGCCCAAATCTGAACCTGAACCAAAATCTGAACCGGAGCCTAAATCTGAACCAGAACCTAAATCTGAACCAGAACCAAATGCGGAACCTGAACCTCATTCTAAAATTTCTGACAAATCAGGAGATATAAAAGGTAATTTATTTAGACGAGTTTTTTTATTATTGTTTATGTTTTCATCATTTTGCATCAACTTTTATATCATTTGAACCTGAACCAGAAGAGAAGTTATTTGAATAATAACTTTTAAAATATACCAGAGGTCCTATTTAGTGACATTCAGTGACTTAACGGAGAAGTCCCACCGTCTTTTAATAGAGGACACAATGATCGTACAGACAGTTTGTACTAATGGGAATCTGATTTTGACATCATGACGTCGTTCTCGATGTAGTGACGAAGAACCAAACATGTCGCTAAATAGGGTCTCTAGTGTACCATACGAAGTGTCATGACGATGTCATAAAATTTAAGGGTACGTTTGCATAGTTGCATCTATACCTTCAATTTCGCTTACATGGAAATTAATTATTTTCACTTTCACTTATACTATATCTTGTAATCACAGTAAAAATTAACTTTTCACACTCTCACATTAAACTAATATTCTAATTTCACTTAGACTACCCAGGTGAGAATTAAGTATTAGTTGGAAACTGACCCAGTGTCAATGGTGGAATTTACTTTAAACTTATTTTCTCACATTCATTTAACTTCCTGATTTTTATTATATTCGCTTTCCTTAATTCTGTTCCCAATTCACCACAATTTTTGGAAACTTGTACGAAGGTCCAAAATTTCCCTTTATTTTTCCCCCCTTTTCTATAAGAATTTTTAGAAACTTTCAAAGGGTCTGAAATTCTTATTCTTCCTTAGTCCAAGTGACACTATCTTTGGAAACTCACGGAGGGTCCGAGGTTGTGTTTTTCCTTATTCCCTGTCTCTCTTTAACACTGAAGAAAATTACAATTTCGTGGAAACTCACCGAGGGGCTGGAAATTTTTATTTCCTTCTTTCCGTCCTAATTTTGCCCAGGCGATTTTTGGAAACTTCCAGAGGGTCCATAATTGCTTTACCTATTCCTAACCATTGTTCCGGCACCTTTTTGAAAACTCGCGTAGGGTCCAGAAACTATCATTCCTTTACGCAGTTAATTTTTATTTTATTTTTGTATACGCGTCCAATTGTCTTCGATGACAGAAATCTTTGGAAACTCTAGAAGGGTCCGAGAGTTCTTTCCTTCGAATTTGCTCTCCCTAAATCACTATTTAACTGAGTTTTCGGAAACTTGTCTATCAAGGGTCCAAAACTCATTTGAGATTGAGCCTGAAATTAACGGTATTAATATCATACTTTTAACTCTAACATACGATACTGTATAGGATCGTAGTAGAAAATAGACTATAAGCAGTTCTTTAACCGGATCTTTAATACTTTGCCTTAAATAAGTAATGATTTATGGAATTTTCCCAATCGAACTAGTAGATTTAAATATTTCCGCTTGTATCTAGTGCATTTTGTTGGTTTATTATTTTACGGAACTAGTCTAGAATTTATCCCATAATCTATCGTGATGAACGCGACTAAGACGTGCATTCTCAGGAGATAGTCTGACTTCTTTTTAATACAACGAAAGAAATAATTAGGATCGAAGAGAAGTTCGTTAGACGTAGGGGTTCACACTTACCTATTAGTGCACTGTATTCAAAGAGGAGCGCCTCTACTGAATGCAAAGCTTTCGGGCTTCAGTCCGCTTCCTGTTAACCTGAGAAGCGCCTCGAGCCAAGTCGGTAGACAAACTGAATTGAACAGGCTGAGCGTGCGGGTTATAAAGCAACGCGAAGACAGTGAGTGGTGGGGAGAAGGCGGTCGGCGCGAGCTGCGTGCGCTGTCGTCAGTCTCTCTCTGTCTGCGTTTGTAACCTGTACGCGACTACTATGGCTGTACTGTATGACTATACGTTATTCCTATATCGTAAAGCTAATCGCTACAAACTTATAGTTAAATGCAAACTTTGTTTACTAGTTCTTTATCTTTTTTGTCACTTTCAAATTATTACCGTTATGTACTGCGCCGCTAAACACTTTCTTCACCTGGGTAACATTAATTTTTCACAACTTTCACTCTCACAATAAATTTCTCATACTAAAATAATTCAAATTTTGAATATCTAATGGTTTTAAATTGATAGGCACTAATGGTAAGTATAAGTTACTGCAGATGAATATGAACCAAATTGAAACTTACCATCAAGTTTCAAATGGCTTCAAAACAAACAAATATAAAAAATTTAACCACATTTGTTGTACAACGGACATACCAAGGATATTATTTTGATAGATGTTTTCAGATTGTTTTAAGATATCTAACGCTACAGTAAATATAAGTAAACTATAAACTCTACTTAAAATAAGAAAAGTTTGTATTTAATAATTAGTGTAGATTAAGCACAGTCAACTTTCCATAAGACAAAGAGCGATAACTCAAATTTTCGATAAGTCAAAGTAATTCTTGGGTCGCGGTCATTCCCCATTTATCAACATTCGATAACTCAAAGTTTTTTCGGTCTCCCTTCGAGTTTGTTTTATCTAGAGTTGACCGTACCTAACATTTCGTTTGTTGTAATTACAATTACTATTTAATAATCATGTAATATAATAGTTCCATACTGTTTACATTACTCTTTTCAACATTTACTTAACATCATCTAAACTGTATATGTGTTTCTCAATGCATTATGATAATGTCTACTTTTTACATGAAAGCAAATGCTTCCTTTTTTCAAATAGCTGGTGCCGGACCACTTGTACACAAATTTACACCAAAGCACGATTTCAATCCAATGGACTGCACCGATATTGTAATTGGTATGGCCCGAGGAATGAGACACAGAATCGGTGACTATTACACTAGAGATAGATCAACTCCTCGCTTAGACACTTTCTGGGGAGGTCAAGATAGTTTAACGGCTGCAATGGGATTCGAACGCGATGGAGTAACTACGATAATGTTTAGGAAGAAACTAACGTCGACAGAACAGTTCACGGATCATAACATTACCAATGAGGATATGCAAGTAATATGGGCAAAGGGACAGGAACCTGGAAAGTATATACATTCTCCAGCGAGTGGAGTTGAGGAATCGAAAGTTAGCGTCAAAGACTTCTACAAAGCTGACGAACTCAAGTACCATGGACACAAAACCCAGAGGGGCGTGGCAACAATAAACTTCTTGGGTACGTGGATTATTAATAGATATGTTAATCCATTTTGTTTCTTTAAAATCTTGATATTTGCTCTATATTTGAATAAAACTGTATTTACTTAATTTGAGGGGGAAACGGTTTATAAAAATCAAGACTAAAAATTTCTCAGTTAGGGGTTTTTATATGATTAACATTTTTAAATAATTCGTTCTTGGATTCTTCAGATGAAAGTGGAAAGACGAACTTTGGAGCCGGCATGCCTCTGGAAGGTGGTGGTTGTGGTGGGCAATGGCAATATCCCAGACAGTGTTCTCCAAAGAATGGAACCTGTGAATACAGAATCAAATGGCAGTACAAAAAAGCAGAGGTAAATAAATCCGAATTAGAAAATGATGACGCGCTCCCAAGAAAGGTACCTAAGAAGCATTCATTCATTAATTCTTTTTCTAGGATAATATATACTTTACGATTGTGACAAGTAATACCGACACATGGACTGGGGTAGGATTTTCCGAAAACGAGAAAATGGTGATTAGAAGTTACTTAATCATTTTTATCTTTATAAATGAATTTTTATAAACCTTATTAAATTCTTTAGAGTCAAACTGACGCTATACTTGGATGGGTTGATAAATCCAATGGACGTCCATTTATTATGGATACCTGGATCAATGGGTACAATGCACCTCTTTTGGATCCCTCTCAAGATATTTATAACATTAGTGGAAAAATAGAAAAGGGAGAAACTACTTTAATGTTCTCTAGAAAACGTATTACCAAAGACCATAAAGACCTTTCGTTTACTGATGACAAATGTCTCTACATGATGTTTCCGGTAAAAGGCGGAAACTTCCATGCCGTTAATAAAAAGATCAAACCTCATCTTGCTGTGCCTATAGTTTCTGGCGATAAAATATGTATAAAGTCGTGTGGCTTTGATGGTATGTTGAAAGAAATTGATAAAATTTATATTGACTTCAGGCGAAGTAAAACATTTCGAATGTTATTTTGCAGATGATGTGGAAATTACGACTCCTGCTCCACCAAGACTCTTCTACGAGGTGGAAGTAAAATTAGTTAACCTTGGTGCTGGTTATGTAGCTCCACAAGTTGGAACTCAAGACTTTGATGATATTTCTAATACAATTGCTGATAGCTTTAGTCTAGCTTTGAATAAAGTACCTGGATTTTATCAACTTAGACTCGATGACTTACGAAGGTAATACATTGCTGCAAAAAATTAATTACCTACTTTTAACATTATAACGCCTCTGCGATATGTGTCCCACCTACAAAAAGTTCAAAATCTATAATGAAAATTAATATTTTTAATTCAAATTTGGAGCGTTTTTTTAACCGCCCGCGGAAATCAAAGAGGGAATTTTTAAATCCCGCACATGCTCCTAGAGGTTTTTTTCGGGTGTTAACCCTTTCATGCCTCCAGAACATATACATTGTATATGTCCCACTCAGAAAAAAAATTTTTTAAAAACTTTCTCTTAATACTTTAAAAAATTTTATTTTTATTTATTGGTGTATACACCTGTCTTCAGCCCGAACCCCATCAAACAATCAAAAATTTGGTAAAAATAAAAATTCTTTTCTTCCAAATTTAATAATTCTAATCACCTGAAAATCACCAGAGTTCTAGTAGGGTCTAAGCCCTTCACAATCCTGAAGAATAGAGAATTTTATTTTAATTTTTAAGTAGTAGCACCCCCACCCGAACGCCATCAGACAATCAAAATTTGGTAAAAACGAAAATAAAAATTTATTTCCTCCAAATTTTATTATTCTAATCATCTTAAAATTACTAGAGTTCTAGTAGGGACTGAGCCCTTCACAATCCTGAAGAATAGAGAATTTTATTTTAATTTTTAAGTAGTAGCAGGTCCACCCGTACGCCATCAGACAATCAAAATTTGGTAATTAGAAAATAAAAATTTAATTCTGTAATGAATTAAAGTTGAATTAATAATTTAATTAATTAACAATAAAATAATTTAAAGGAATGTTACACAGTACTAGCTGACACCTTTAAATCTGTTTGGTAGTGGATCCCCTCCTTCCTACTTATTGTTCAAGTAGTGAGGTGAGAATCTCTACTTTTTTTATTAGTGGAATTTTTAGGAAATTAGAATTTGATTTGTGGATAACAATAAAATTAAACAAATAATTTACAAATAATGATAATATATTATAACCATTAAGCCCTAATACAGTTATCTAAATTTCCCTTATTTACTTTAATTTAAATATTCCAATGTTTATTCTCTTTAAGTGTGTGATTCTACACAAGATCTATATTTTGATGTATGATGTGTTTTTATGCATGTATTTTATTTTAGTGTGTAAAACAACTTAGCTCACCTTTGTTATATGTGTATATATATTTCCTTTTTTGTTTTATTTCCTTTAGTTAGTATTCTCTATTTTGTAACATGTTCGCACTTTATTTATTATTTCACTTTTCATTTCTTATTTTATTTTCACTTTATTTTATTAACCTTTTATTTGTTCACTTATTTAATATCTTTTTGTTACGGTCTATTATTCAGACCTGCAGTTTAATTAAACAACAAGAGCTTCGTACTATAGCCCTAACTCTCCGTCATGGTCACGCCGAGACACACGGGCAAATGCCCAGATTTCCCTGTGTCAATCGACTTTATTAATCGACATTACAGTGGTGAAATCATACTTTAGTTTATTGCACCTGCTCGTTGCCAGGCGCTTTTCTGCAAGCTTGCAGTTTTAGGCAGTGGTGTGATCATGGTTCATTAACCTAGACACACAACTCCTTAAGTTTCACAATACATTGGTATCTGAAGCCTCATTCTTTTAATTAAAGTTAAATTCTCATTCTTTTTCAATATAAATTTATAAAAATGTGAAATATAATAAACTGCAATGATTGAGAGAGATATTATATTTTATTAATATTTAAACTCTTTTAAACTAAGATTATAACGAATAGATAAACTAAGTATATTTTGTTAATATTTTCTTGTAAATATTATATTTGTATTTTGTTATCACGAAGGGATAAATCGTGACGAAGTCCGTTCGTCACAAATTCTACCAAATTTAATAATTCTAATCATCTTAAAATTACTAGAGTTCTAGTAGGGACTGAGCCCTTCACAATCCTAAAGAATAGAGAATTTTATTTTAATTTTTAAGTAGTAGCACCCCCCACCCGAACGCCATCAGACAATCAAAATTTGGTAAAAACGAAAATAAAAATTTATTTCTTCCAAATTTAATAATTCTAATCACCTGAAAATCACCAGAGTTCTAGTAGGGTCTAAGCTTTTCACAATCCTAAAGAATAGAGAATTTTATTTTAATTTTTAAGTAGTAGCACCCCCACCCGAACGCCATCAGACAATCAAAATTTGGTAAAAACGAAAATAAAAATTTATTTCTTCTAAATTAAATAATTCTAATCACCTGAAAATCACCAGAGTTCTAGTAGGGTCTAAGCCCTTCACAATCCTAAAGAATAGAGAATTTTATTTTAATTTTTAAGTAGTAGCACCCCCACCCGAACGCCATCAGACAATCAAAATTTGGTAAAAACGAAAATAAAAATTTATTTCTTCCAAATTTAATAATTCTAATCATCTTAAAATTACTAGAGTTCTAGTAGGGACTGAGCCCTTCACAATCCTGAAGAATAGAGAATTTTATTTTAATTTTTAAGTAGTAGCACCCCCACCCGAACGCCATCAGACAATCAAAATTTGGTAAAAACGAAAATAAAAATTTATTTCTTCCAAATTTAATAATTCTAATCATCTTAAAATTACTAGAGTTCTAGTAGGGACTGAGCCCTTCACAATCCTGAAGAATAGAGAATTTTATTTTAATTTTTAAGTAGTAGCACCCCCACCCGAACGCCATCAGACAATCAAAATTTGGTAAAAACGAAAATAAAAATTTATTTACTCCAAATTTAATAATTCTAATCATCTTAAAATTACTAGAGTTCTAGTAGGGACTGAGCCCTTCACAATCCTGAAGAATAGAGAATTTTATTTTAATTTTTAAGTAGTAGCACCCCCACCCGAACGCCATCAGACAATCAAAATTTGGTAAAAACGAAAATAAAAATTTATTTCCTCCAAATTTTATTATTCTAATCATCTTAAAATTACTAGAGTTCTAGTAGGGACTGAGCCCTTCACAATCCTGAAGAATAGAGAATTTTATTTTAATTTTTAAGTAGTAGCACCCCCACCCGAACGCCATCAGACAATTAAAATTTGGTAAAAACGAAAATAAAAATTTATTTACTCCAAATTTAATAATTCTAATCATCTTAAAATTACTAGAGTTCTAGTAGGGACTGAGCCCTTCACAATCCTGAAGAATAGAGAATTTTATTTTAATTTTTAAGTAGTAGCACCCCCACCCGAACGCCATCAGACAATCAAAATTTGGTAAAAACGAAAATAAAAATTTATTTCCTCCAAATTTTATTATTCTAATCATCTTAAAATTACTAGAGTTCTAGTAGGGACTGAGCCCTTCACAATCCTGAAGAATAGAGAATTTTATTTTAATTTTTAAGTAGTAGCAGGTCCACCCGTACGCCATCAGACAATCAAAATTTGGTAAAAACGAAAATAAAAATTTATTTCTTCCAAATTTAATAATTCTAATCATCTTAAAATTACTAGAGTTCTAGTAGGGACTGAGCCCTTCACAATCCTGAAGAATAGAGAATTTTATTTTAATTTTTAAGTAGTAGCACCCCCACCCGAACGCCATCAGACAATCAAAATTTGGTAAAAACGAAAATAAAAATTTATTTCCTCCAAATTTTATTATTCTAATCATCTTAAAATTACTAGAGTTCTAGTAGGGACTGAGCCCTTCACAATCCTGAAGAATAGAGAATTTTATTTTAATTTTTAAGTAGTAGCACCCCCACCCGAACGCCATCAGACAATCAAAATTTGGTAAAAACGAAAATAAAAATTTATTTCTTCCAAATTTAATAATTCTAATCACCTGAAAATCACCAGAGTTCTAGTAGGGTCTAAGCTTTTCACAATCCTAAAGAATAGAGAATTTTATTTTAATTTTTAAGTAGTAGCACCCCCACCCGAACGCCATCAGACTATCAAAATTTGGTAAAAACGAAAATAAAAATTTATTTCCTCCAAATTAAATAATTCTAATCACCTGAAAATCACCAGAGTTCTAGTAGGGTCTAAGCCCTTCACAATCCTAAAGAATAGAGAATTTTATTTTAATTTTTAAGTAGTAGCACCCCCACCCGAACGCCATCAGACAATCAAAATTTGGTAAAAACGAAAATAAAAATTTATTTCTTCCAAATTTAATAATTCTAATCATCTTAAAATTACTAGAGTTCTAGTAGGGACTGAGCCCTTTACAATCCTGAAGAATAGAGAATTTTATTTTAATTTTTAAGTAGTAGCAGGTCCACCCGAACGCCATCAGACAATCAAAATTTGGTAAAAACGAAAATAAAAATTTATTTCTTCCAAATTTAATAATTCTAATCACCTGAAAATCACCAGAGTTCTAGTAGGGTCTAAGCCCTTCACAATCCTAAAGAATAGAGAATTTTATTTTAATTTTTAAGTAGTAGCACCCCTACCCGAACGCCATCAGACAATCAAAATTTGGTAAAAACGAAAATAAAAATTTATTTCTTCCAAATTTTATTATTCTAATCATCTTAAAATTACTAGAGTTCTAGTAGGGACTGAGCCCTTCACAATCCTGAAGAATAGAGAATTTTATTTTAATTTTTAAGTAGTAGCACCCCCACTTGTACGCCATCAGACAATCAAAATTTGGTAAAAACGAAAATAAAAATTTATTTCTTCCAAATTTAATAATTCTAATCATCTTAAAATTACTAGAGTTCTAGTAGGGACTGAGCCCTTCACAATCCTGAAGAATAGAGAATTTTATTTTAATTTTTAAGTAGTAGCACCCCCACCCGAACGCCATCAGACAATCAAAATTTGGTAAAAACGAAAATAAAAATTTATTTCTTCCAAATTAGTAATTCTAATCACCTGAAAATCACCAGAGTTGTAGTAGGGTCTAAGCCCTTCCCAATTCTGAAGAATAGAGAATTTTATTTTAATTTTTAAGTAGTGGCAGTTCCACCCGTACGCCATCAGACAATCAAAATTTGGTAAAAACGAAAATAAAAATTTATTTCTTCCAAATTTTATTATTCTAATCATCTTAAAATTACTAGAGTTCTAGTAGTGACTGAGCCCTTCACAATCCTGAAGAATAGAGAATTGTTTTGCAAGTTATATTTTTTCTATATTTTGAAAATTCTTTTCAGTTCTGATGACAATGGTGTCTATGCGAAGATGATCTTGGCTATTGATAAAAATGAAATTAAAGGTAGATCTCTCTTACCTTCGGATACAATGGCGTCGACGAAAGCAGTTCTTCAGGAAGCTCTTACCAATGGAAAAGTTGGTAGTTTATCAGTGGATCCACTGTATTACGACGTTCGCCCTTATAGATGTAAGTTAATTGAAAATAATCTATGAATGTATAGAATGTTATTTAAAAGTTTTTTTAGTTTTAAAATTAACTTTACAACACCTATTTGCAATTATTTTATTTTATTTATGTTAATACAAAAATCACATTTACAGCAAATTTTATTGACGACGATTTGGACGTACAAGAAAATAGAAATGAAGTTTCTAAGCAGTCTTTCTGGGAATCACCACAATTTTATCCGATTGTTGGATGTCTCGCAGCATTAGTAGCTCTTTGTTTATTGCAAGCTACGTGCACTATTTATCGAGCGTCGAAAAAGAAGACAACAAAGGTAATGTATCTACTAATTACTTTTTGAATTATTTCTAAGTACAAGTAGCTTTCCTCTTAAACAACTTAATTCGTTCTTTCGTCCATAGCAAAGGTATAGTATTTTCCATTTTTAGCGCCATCAAATTATATTTTATAATTATAAGTAGGTTTTTTGTTGTTGGTCATAAAACTTGTAGGATAGAAATATCTGCACGTTCAATGAGTCATTTTCACCATTTTTAATCTGACTCGTATTAGTTTTTTCTTAAAGTCTCCATTGATATTAAAATACAATTGAATGGTAAATCAAATTATTTACCCTTGTCTTTAATTATTTTAATTTTAAATTTTACAAGAGAAGTAATTGTCAATTATAGACTTTTGTTAATTTTTGTTTATTATAATGGTTTGAAATGCATCTTTATGAAAAGTATGTTTTGTTTATTAAATTAAGTTTTAATAACTATAAAAGTTTGTAAATATCTACACTACTGTGTTTAGGTAAGTTTACTAGTTTAAGTTCAGTAATTTATTAAAAAAAACCTTTGATCATGAATTCAAAGTCATTTGCTTCAAAAATCTCAGAAAAACATCTATTTAAAGCAATTTAATGCGAATTTTAAATATAGGTTCACCATATTGGATCTGCGACTTTGAGTTTTGAAAACTGACATCGAATTCGTAATCACCAGCCCAAAAATTGCAAATTAATAAATTTAAAGTAATTCAAAGCAATTAAAAAAAATAGTCTTTTATACAGGTTGCACTATTTTGAATCTTAAAAATCCTACTACGGATTCGTAGTCAGAGATCCCATACTTCCGAATTAATAGTTTTAGCCCTATTTGATGATTATTAATTTTTGTTTACTACGTATTGTTTAAATCAGTGAAATTTCGCTTATTCAGATTTAGAGAGGGTGTAATTGCTTCAAAGTATTATATTATTTTCTTTTATTATATTGGTTCATGCTTCAGAATCTATTAATAATTTGTATATTTTACTCCTTTGTCACTTTTTCCGTAGAGAGATTGTAGTCTTCCGCACATTATCGATACTTTGGATTTTGTTCGTAATCCTCGTGGTGTTAAATTTCTTCCTCGGGCATTGCCTGAAAGTTTTAGAATCCTTCGTCTTTGCTTGTCATTTTGATTGCAATTGATTTTTCCTCGTTTTACGCTTTTAATGAAATCCTCTTCTTCACAATCCTAATGTTCATGTTTCTAATTTTATCATTCGGTACAATTTTCCTACAGATTGATTTTATCATTTATTTGAAAAATTTCCTCTATCCGTTTATCGGCGTTGGAGGAACAAGAAAGACCTTCAGAAATACTGAAATAGCGATCAGATTTTATGCTTTTTAACAGATTTTTATGACGGTTCAAGTAGTTATCGTAACGTCTTTTATTAGTCACTGAAATAAAATATAAAACATTCGGCTTTTATACAATAACGTACCATATAACCTGTATTTTTAAAAATTAAATTAATTGTATCGACCGTTCAATGATACACCAAAAACAAACAAAAATATCACAGAGGAGATTCCACTTCAGACCAACCTACGGATACAGGACAAAAGATGACAGAATATTGGATCAAACCGTGTTTAATAGATTCCTTCTATTAGGATAGCTAGAAGTTTCCGATTGTCCGGTGGGGGATTGCCACCATGTATTCTAATATTATCCTAAAGAAAATATATAAAAACTACGCTTTATACTTTGATGATTTTGGAAAGAAATTTTATACTATTATATCTACCAAAGCCACGACGATCGAAACATCATAGTCGACATTCGTTCCTACCTCTGCTAAGGACTTGCGCATAAAAACTTTCAGCTTTATACTATGAAGAAGGTCTTGCAATCACAGACTCCTGCTATATTCATGATGTATATATCTCATTTATTTTTCACCGGATCAACTCAAAAATTTAGACACATTTCTAAAACTACATAGTTTAAGAAAATGCAGAAAATATCGATTTCTTAAAAGTCACGAATAGTGTAGCTTCCTCAAACACTTATTTGTAAATATAATGATGAAAAGTAAAGAAGAAACAAGGAAAAAATTAACATTGTATCGACAGAAGGCAGTACCTAACGGACACATCTACTAAAGTAGATGATAGATAGTAGAGTCCTTATCGTTGTATATATGAATTTTCTATTTTTGTTTAACTTTGCATTTTGAGTTTTTATGAATCACTAATTACAAATCTAAACCTAGTTTCCATGAATTAAAAAACAGTAATATTACTGCTTGGAAATTAGAAGCAATTTTGAAAACATCCTGCTTCACTAAACTACTCTAACATATTTCTTAATAAACAATTTGCTTAAAATTGAAAATATGAGAGCAAACGAAAAATAATGTTTACTTTAAGTCCTATAAGCTTGAATTAATTAGATTCTACTATTACTTATTTAACGAAAAAGTTATTTTCTTATCTTGCTTCTGCTTTTTTAATTCTTTCAATTTTTTCTTTCATCTTTTCATTTTTAAGGCATGAAAATTTTTGAAGATTAATATATCTTCTCAGTAGAATCCTTGAAAATTTTTTTTTTGTGCTTTGCTTGTTGCATGATCCGCGCTCTTTGTGACTGCCATGATGTAGAGGGTGTATTCGCTGCCATTGGTCACCAATCCCGCTTCGGTCAACCCGATTCATCGTTCAAGCGCGACGCGGTATCATCCTCAAAATGACCATCATCTACAGCTTCGGCATCATCATCAACACGTTGCGCCTAATACTCACAGACCCTCCCAAAAGTGGTAGACCCAAAAATTTGCTCATATTATTCTCAAAGGTATATTCTGCTTGTATCTTTTGATAGTTATCGTTTAATTATTTCTTCTACTTTTTTTCATTTCGCAGCTTGTGTCTAACAAGTTTTGATTGTCCCTCATGTAACTAATATTGGTTTGCTTGTAAAGTACTTGATTAACAATCTTAATATGCTATAAACGTTTCAAATGTAGTATTAAGATCATTTTTGAGGATTAACTTTCTGAAGTTTAAAAATCGAGAAATATGGAAATTCTGAATCTATGGATCTCCATAGAATCTATGGATTCTTGACTCAGGAAACACCCTGATATCAAGATAAAAAAATGGATTTTTTCAAAATCCTAAATGGATGTAATTCCTTAACCCGTTAGCAGTCGCGCTGCCTCACTATTACTAGAAGAGCACCCTAACCGGTCACGGGTTAGGCATTAAGTTAATGCATGCATTTTAACAATAAGGTTATTGACCATTAAGTTAAAACTTAGAAATAGGAGAGAAGTTGACTACGTTTGCTTTTAAGTTCGACATGTAAGAATTACAACCATACAAAGAAAATATATTCAAGCATCTTACTCATTGTTTCAGGATCGACTAATATCGAAGAATGCATGGAGAGACTATCCCACAGGTGCGAATACAAATTTTGCCTTCGAGGCATTTGAGACTGAAGAAAAGGCTCCCCCGCCTCCTGTGTCAAGTCTTCCTCGCCCACGGGAAATGATGGGTCCCAATAATGGAATGCTGCTAGACGAACAAATTCATCATCCACACAAGTTTCAACACCAAGAATTTCAACATCCTCGTAACAATATTGGAGCAATGGTTCCAGGTCCTAGAGCTACTTACAGTCTTCCCAGGGCTCCAGGTCACAGGCATTCCACGGGAGTCGCTTCCTCTCCCGGTCCTCAGCCTCAAGGTTACTACACTCAGGATCGCCGCAACATGCAACGATTTAAGCATCCCAATCAAGCCCACTCTGGCTCTCAGTCGTTGCTTCAACCTCAGCCAGATTTCTACTTTATGCCCAGTCAGAGGAAGTACAGTGGCGAAGTTGTGCGCGTTTACGTTGACTATGGAAATTCCAAAAATAAATAAACTACAAAAATTGTGGTCAGTCCCATCGACTCGCTCAAAAGTGAAAGTTTTTTAACTCTCACGTCACATTGTTACCGTGCTTTTCGGTAAAGCAAGTTGTAAATAAGCATTGCTCACAGCGTCTTATTCGCCACGTGTCAGTGTTATATTTTAAGCTATTCCTCATAGAGGAAAATAGTTAAGTACAACAAATTTGTCCGTTTTTATACTTTAAAATAATAAATAATGTTTAATAACATACGTAGAAACGACGCAGAAGTTACCAAATTTAGAAAGGTAAATTGTATATAATTTTGAGTGTTACAAGAATATTCCTTGTCCATGATGATTGGTTTCTTGAGATTATTTTTACAAATTGTGTACTTAAGAAGATATGTGACGAATACGATAAAGGAGCATGCGTGTACATTTACTTGATTCAAATATACCACATTAATTTTAGGTAAAAATGTATAATTGTAAGTTACCTTTCCGTCTATGTTGGAAAAAAAATAAATAGACTCTATTTTTAACTGTGAAGGGTTTTCTTCAGTATAGCCGATGAAAAAAATTGAGTCATATATATTTCTGCTAAACTTCTGTTGTTATAAAACAAAAGAAGATCATAGTAATTGTTAATAATTTAATATTTCTATCATCATCATTATCATCATCTAATGACGTTAGAAGAAAAGAATGTATTTTCCGAGTACAATGATCGAATTATTCCGATATCCAACAAAATGTAAAAAAAAATTTATCAAGATCTACTCTTATTATTTCACAAAAATTCATTTCTTCTAAAATATAATATTTTGTACATTTTTTACTCAAAATTGTTAATTTACCAATTCCCAATTCCTATTCTTTTTTGAGTGCTGACAATTTGAATTAATTTTCAAAATAATTTGTAAATCATTCACCGTACATTAAACATTTCGCAATGAATTTTTCCCTATTTTGAATCCGTTCAAACTGAAATTCTTCTTTTTCTTAAACGCGTTTTCATCTTTAGAAACTCACGCCTTTGGAGATGTGACTTGAGGCAAAGCATTTGATCAACTTCACCACTGCCCATATAAACTACAAGTTTGAAAATAATTTTAATTTCTGTTCGGATAAATGCTTACGCAGTATTTCTTCATAACCCTTGAAAGCCTTGAAATGACGGATTCAAAATAGCGAACAGAAATTCTTGTAGTTGCGTTAATTGATATTAATAAAGACCAATTATGTTTGTTGGTAATAACATATAAATAATTATATTATAAATAATATAAATATATGAATGTAAATATAAAAATGTAAAATATAATTTAATCATAAGAAGTTACTCAATGTGTTATTAAATCATCTTATACAAAATTATCAACCTGTGAGTTTTAAATTTCAGAATCTAAATTATATCTAAGATAATTTACCTAAATCCGACAAGGGCCCTGGTGGCATGAGGACTAACTAGAAAATTTCATTGGTAAGAAAAGGATAGAAATATTTTTCTCTTTTTCTAACTAATAAGATTTTTAAGTTACATCACATGCAACTATATTTCCGCCTTATAGTGCATTGTCGGTTTCTTATTTTAAGTTTAGAATTCGTTCCATGATCTATCGTGACTGACGCAACCAAGACGTATATTTAACAAAAAATATAACCTTATTCTGACAATTTTGTATAGTTATTTTCAGTTTATTTTCCCCTGTAGAGGCGCTCGAATCACTAAGCGCTCAGACACGATTGTTTCCGGAAAAGTGTGTTAGTGTGACCATATCGAAAACCAGATCGGTCTCCTGATTCTAATATAAGAAAACTCAACGGCAATTTTTTATCCAGGTAGCACCCTAAGATAAGAATTCATCTCCATGGCTTAGCCTCAAGTGTAAGAGTGTAACATGAATAAATAAATTGTTAACTTCACTAGACACCTTCCTATTTTATTTAATCGGCAGTTGTTCAACAATGTTTATTCCACTTTTGAAAGAGTAAGGAAAATTTATTACAATTAATTATTAGAATCTCCGTTAAGATGATGTAATATTAATTTTTTATTTTATATTTTATCATAGTTTTGTAGAATGGTTTCTTTTTTGTACATGAGAAGTATTTTCTTTCTTTTATATATACGAAAGTCTGAGATTTTGAGCTTAGCTATCATTTCTGAATTGTTGTAGATTACATTATAATTATAATCCACTTCAATGAGCTATCAGACTGTTCACAATTCCACATCATGGCTTCTTTTGATTCAGTGATCATAGATGAAAATTCCCAGTAGTAAAGCTAAAAATATTACAAAGGGCGGATTCCCTAATTTAAGTTGTCCTCCGTGTTGCATTGCTGCTGGGTATTCTCCTGCAAAAAAAGTCCTATGTACTTTACATATGACATAAATTACAGTTTCATCTACATTGCACCTCACTGGAGGTTTTTTTCAATTTGAAAATTCTCTAGACTTTTTGTAGTCAAACGTTAGTCTACAATTAAGAAAATCCAATAATATCCCAGTGGGTACTGTGACGTAGGATGTCTTCAGGACGTCTGTCAGTTTAGAACATTCTAAAGAATGTTCCTAAAAGCGCTTTTGGACTCGTGTCTTTAGGATGTCCTTTGAAGGGACACTAAAGATACCCTAAAAAGCTCCCTAAAGACAACCCATATCCCAGTAAGTATATAGAGAACTTTTTCTTACGTACCATTTAGTACATGAACAGAAATCTTTTGGCTGTTAGCGTTGCTAGGATGACAAGTATAATCACCGCTGTCCGATGATTGTGCTCGTTGAATTAGAAGATAAGAGGTGGTAATTTCACCTTTTTCTGTGATTACAGACACACCACCCCTCGGACTATCATAATTGATTTCCTACAAAAATTTTAATGTTTCAGTTTTTCCTCCAAGCGATGAAATAAAACATTTGAAAGGTTCTAATTCTTGTCTTTATTAAGAAACAAAGGCACTAAAAATTTTGGGATTTGTAATGAGAAGTGCATCTGCTTTTCGTAATTTGGAAACGCTTAAAACTTTGTATTTCACACTTGTCAGATCAATACTTGAATGTGCCTGTATTTGGTCACCTTTTTGTTTTCAATATAATTAGGATTGAACGTGTATAGAACATATTCTTGAGATTTGCAGCTCGACTTCTTAGCATTTGCTTTGAGAGACACGCCCATATTAAGAGACAGCGTCTCAGCGTCTCAGCGTCTCAGCTGACGAGATATTTCATTGCAAGCGGTCAAGTGGGAAACACTCGGGAAGAGCGATCAGAATGATTAGATAAATTAGATTGGATTATTATCTCATTGTACGAGTGACTAGACTAGACTTTTTAGAAAAGTTTAATGACTTTAGCAAATACCTGGTGATTGTGAGTCCAGAAAATAGAAGAAGGTGGTTCTGGACTATGCCTTACTACGCAGGTAAGGTTCATCGTGCTACCTCTGTTTATGTACAATTCTGGACTTCCTACGATGGTAGTAACAGGCTCTGAAAGCAACAAGTATTTAAAATGTATTATAACAGATATAATATCTTATAAGAATGTAAAAGTGATTAAAATTTAGTTTACCGACAACAGCAAGATGCATGGAGTGTCCTATGGGCGGTGTTGTAGAAACCTGACATTCATAAGTTCCAGAATCTCTCTGCTGGGGATATTTAATTTGGAGGGTCCAATCCTCTGTTCGAGGGTAATTAGAAGCAACGAATCTCTGATCGGATGTATACGTATCGATTCCTACTGTTAGCAGATGTATGTCTCTATGTCTTACCCATGAAACCTACAACAGATATACATATTTATGGATAAGACTTCTATACAACAAGTTATCGAATTTCGGAACAGGTTCAAATTTTTAGTCTTTCAGACCTTATCTTTATACTAACACAGTAAAGCACTTTTGAAGACTTGACTAATAATAAAAATATTTGGAGCTCGTCCATATATTACGTTAACAATTTATAAATACTTTTGGACGGCTCTTACCCCTCCGCTGACCGTATACCCATTTCGTAATGTTAAACAACTAAGATAGAGAATTAAGGTATGTGCACTTACTGTTCGATCGTCCAAATTACGAACCCGACAGTTTAACTGTGCTGTTTTGCCAACCAACGCCGTTACGTTTTGTGATGCTGACATATCAAAATACGGACTTCGAATTGAGGGTTCAAATTTTTGAACATCACCATTATTACTCCAGCATCGAACAGATCCTGCGAAAATAAGTATTTGTTAGAGTAATAAAAAATTACGAGCACTTTTTAAAATATAACGCAATATATAAATAAACTTTAATGCCTCAATAATAACCGAATGGGTCCAGAAATATTTTTGATTTGGAAATGCGTCATGTCTGACAAATAAGGTTTTAACATTCAATGTTCTAAAAATTATTTTAGAATATAAAAATTAACAATCTTACAAGAAAAACTATATATGAATCAAATCCTATGGGAATCTAAAAAGGATTTCATATTAGATTCTAGATAAAATATAAACATTTATATTTGCTGTTATGTTTATGGGTTAGTTGCTGTTATGTTTGTTTATACAAATTTCTTGTGTAAAATCAAAAGTGCGTATTTAGCTTGGATTTCATGTCGAATTTCGTTATGAATTCGTAAAGTGTCCCAGAACTCGCCACGCGGAGTTTGCTGCTCTTCGAGTTTCTATTTTTTTGTTTTGTTTTTGTTTTTTTTTAATTCTTTTATTTCCTTTTTGTATTTTGACTATTTATGTTTTGTTCAATTGTAGATTAAGGACAGACTTATTGTTAGAGGGAAAACTGACTCTTGTATAATCAAAAGTGGCAATATTCTGTCTGGAATGCAAAGTGCAACGAGTGAACTTGTCTCTGCCATCACTATCACATACTTGCTTCGCAGTTTCGGTAACAAATTTCACTAACCGTTCCACTGCAAGTGTATGACAAGGATCTTGAATCAAGATATGAAAAGAATTCCTACTCTTTGTACCCTTGTTCACCTGTGATAAACTCAATGAACTCCTTCTTAGGCACATTCCGAAGAACTAGAGAAGTTACGCAAGATGTGGACCAATCAATCATCCCAAAGTAGTTTTTTGCTAAAAATATTAGCGTATCGAGTACGCTCAATGAATTAAAACAGAAGTCTGGGTTCGTCATTAATGAAGTCATTAATGAAGTCGCTTCTGATATAAACGTACGAACCTTTTGTACTTTTTCTACAGGTTCATGTATAGAAACATACCATACATATATTTTGTATTCAACGATGGGATTTCACGGTAGTGAGAATCCGTGGCTTGCGATTGTTGAGGTGTTTTTCCACTACTATCAGAATATATCAAGCGGGAGGTTCAATATCGTGATATAATGATGTGCACTGTCGATTATTGTCCAGTGCACACCATTAGAACTCGTCTGGCGATAAATCGGTTGTATTCAGAAGAGGTTTTCTACAGATTGCCTTTCCTTTGTCGAGAGGAACCATATGTGACAATTATAATGAAGAAAATGCAAGTACTCCTAATAATTTCAACTCTTTTTTAATATTTAGTATTGACTTTGACTTTAGTGTAGAGAAAGTTGTAAAGGAAAATTCTTAGGTGTAACCCCATTGAAAATTCCCACATAGGAATCGACATATTATGGGACCCAATATCAGATGTGACATTTTGAATTTTCGAAATTTTGAAAATCTGTCTTCAGATTCATAATCAGCGACCTCAAAAACTCCTGAGTGACAAGTTTCAACAAAATCCAATAGCTGGGTTGCTGGGTTCCAATAGCAAGTTTGCATTCAAAGTTTTCGGCAAGTTCACGAGGCAAACTTATATTTTCAAGGGAACATTCTTATAAAAAGCTCTTTAATTTTCCCCTATCCATTATACTTTCAAAAATGCATTTTTAAATATAGTATTTGATGGAATGTTTTGTCACATTAGTACCACATCGTGGTATCAATTTCATCTTTTTTCGACAAAGGCGGATTCTGCATTCTCACGAGTTCTCATTCAGCTATTACCCTTTGTAAATAGCTAAGTAGAGAATGATTTTCGGAAAATAAATAAGGTCAATCTTCTCAGAAACGCCACATTTTTCCTATCATATATTTGCCATAAATTCTTAACCGTATGAAGAAGAATTCCTATATATAAGTTTCAAGAGGGTTAAACCGCTCTCAAAGCCAAAAGAATTTATTTGTCAAAATACCTTTTTTTATAAAATTTAAAATTCTTGGCGAGCATTTCTAAGAATCATCAAAATGTTATTCTGTTCAATCAAAGAAAACTTTAATTTTTCTTTTTTACTTACTATTTTTCCTCAAATGTCTTAATCATTCGGAAACAATTTTACTCGAAATTTCATATAACTTAAACTATTTTAGAAATTGCTCGTAAACTTTGTTTGAAAGAGTAGTAAAAACAAAAGTACCGAAACAGTTTTAGGTTCCTGACTTTCTTTTATAATTGTTTTTTAATTATAAATATAAAAGTCCCTGTATACTTCAAAAACTTTAGGAAACATTTTCCAACTTTTTTTATGGATAGTTTCTTTTCCTACAATATTATGTAATATTTCTTAAAACCCACTTCTTGAATCAAGATAGGAGATGCATTATGATTCCATAATGATCATGTTTTAGAATTTACGGTTGAGGTTGATGCGATAGCGGCAAATGTCCTTAGTACTTTGAGCCAAATTAGTTAAGATGCTTTCAAGACACCACGCTTGAAGTGATTTTTTTTCAGATCTGAGTTCATCATGGCAACATTAACTATTTTTTTTTTAAATTTAAGTCTGTCTTTTTTAAAAAAAATTTGATCATTAGATATAAGTTTTTAAAAAGATCTTCTTTTCGAGTTATTACCAAACTATCCCCTTAGTTTAATAGTTTAATAGATTAATAAAGTTTTAAAAAATAATCAATAAGTAAGTAAATTTTTGTATACAAAATTGTTATATAAAAAAACAAAAAGGGTTTATCATTTTTTAAATTTATTATTCAAACATGTATAGTGTTGCATGTCGAGCAATTAATCTCTATCGGCAAATTCTTGTCAAACTCGAGAACATCATCAAAATAACAATTAAAACAATTGAATTTTACAGTTTCATCTCACTTCTTTTATAAAAGGAGACGGAAAAACAAATGACGTCTATTTGCTCGAAATGCATCACTTGGCATGTAGAAAATTTTCCTCGATTCTTGCAATGAGTCAACACTGTCAAAAGCTTTCATCCTTTTCATTTATCTATGAAGACAGGAATGTAAAATTTTATAAAGTAGAACTTGAGAATAATCTATAATTAAAAAATCGTTTTGTGGGAACTAATGAAAAAAGTTACTACGACTATTGACAATGGTTGCATTTAAATGGATTTAACTTAAATTCTAATAAATTATTTTAAATTGACTCTAAATAAGTTTTTTGATTATATATAGATCTTCTTAAACTTTTTTCTTCTTTTGTGCAAATTTAATACAAATCAAATACTTTTAATTAAAATTATTAACTTCAACGAATTTAAAACTCGCTTTAATCTTATATATTAAAAGTTATGCTAAATTTCAATTATCGCACGAGTTAATAGTTTTAATTAAGAGTATAGGAAATTTATCACCAACTATAAAACTTAATTTTCATTGATTTTCTTTTAATGTATCGACACTCTTAAAATGTTCTTATATTTCTGAAGATAGAAATATAGAATATTAAAAATCAAAAATAATATTATAATGATATTTATATAAATAATATTTTTTATTAATGTTCTATTTATGAATACTTATACTATACAAAATAAATAATTTTTGAAAAGAAAAATAAGAGAATTATAAAATCCTATGTTCTATTCTACTATCAAAGGAAATCTTACTTGCGAAGAGTACACTTAAAGTCAACAGAACGCTCCTCATTTTTAAAAATTTCTTCTCTCTAACCACCAAAGCAGGCTATACAGCAGCATACTCTTTCTATTCTTTCATATTTCTCGAGATATCCACGAAAATACCTAATTATAAGTACAATTCCTCATCACTCGAGAGATAAATAATTAAAAACACCAAGTGCCTCTTGCAGTAGATTATCTCATTAACTTCACCTTGAAAGTGCAATACACAATGTAATTTTGAATATTGTAAATTATTATTCAATCATACAACTCCTTTTCTTTGTAAAAAAATCTTATTTATGATTGTATTATTCCAATTTTATTTTCATAACTCATTTCATAATTTTATTTAGTAAAAAAAACCAAAAAAGAATTTTCGAAAATTATTATTTTATTACGTTTTTTGTATGCTCTTCACTTAAAACAAATATTTACACATTCACGTACAATTTTATATTGTGCATCACTTTTTTTGTTCATTCTTTCGTTTTCGAACGAGTTTTCAAACGATTTTTCAAATAATGAATTTTTGTAATATTTTATCCGCCCTTCGAAAGAGTAAATATTCAACTTCATCATATTGTCAGGTGCACAAATAATAACAAAGAATATAAAAAACAAGTGTCAACTCTACAAAAAAGTAGGATTAGATTGAAAATATTTAAATGAAAATTTTCATTCACAATATAACATTGAAATTTATTTAATCATAATATTTTTTAAGAGGAGCAGTGAAAAAGTCATGAATATGAGACGTTGCTTGAAAAGCCTTTTTAAGAGTACTGATGTGAAATTCCACAAAGTGTAAGTTCTGTCAACCAATATAGGTAATATTGGAGATGAGGAGAGAAAGCATACGAGACGCAAACGCGAGCGCCGGCGCTTTGATATTACCGGCTTTTTTCTTGCACTCTTTACTCAGCTTCCCTGCTAATCTAATAGGGTAAATGAACCAACTACCGAGGCTGCTCCATTTGTCAATGTTATCATGATAGTAACCAAAAATGTTGCCCACAATGTTTTATTTATTTGCGGGGATATAATATTACTATCTATATTATCTTTAACATTTTATAATACAAATTTTTCTATTTTTTTCACATTTAGATTTTTGTTTCCATATTTAAGTAAAAAATAGAATTTCGGTGCCAAAAGTGAATTTTGTTTAAGCCAAAATTAAATATGATGCTTTTTGGGGTCAATAAACAAAAAAAATTTATTCTTTCAAGTTTGATGTTCTTTTACCCAAAAAAATGTGTTTATAAGATTACCGACTTATTATTTATTTATTTGATATATTTTATTTATTTTATTTTAGACTAAACAAAATTTTTCGTGTGATCCTATCCTCACATGAGTTCCTACATACAAATAAAATCATTACGATTCATTCTTTTATAACTCGTTCAATTTTTGACCGATTTTGATGAATCAAACATGAATTTTTTTCAGAAAATTACGTATTTTTAGAAAATTATATACAATAAAAAAATTTTATATTTAAATATAAAAAAGTAAGAATAAATTTTCTTTTACAGTTTTTATAACTTTTGACCCATTAATTTTAATTTTTTCATAAATAATAATCTCTATCATAATTTCATCATTAATTAAAAAAAATGTACCGAAATTTGCATTTCTACCTTCATTTAATTAGAAAGTCGTTCGTAACCGTGAAAAGTCCTATAAACAAATGAATTACAATGCAAAGATTTCCTTTTCCTGAGGTGGTCAAATTTATGCTGCTCGTATAAATTTAAGTGACGATATATCTCAAAATTAATTAAAGTCTTCAAGATAATTTTTTTTTTTTTAATTAAAGATGAAATGATACAGGTTATTATGAAAAAAATTAAAAATAATGGGTCGAAAGTTATAAAAACTGTAAAAATTATTTCTCAAAATAATATTTTATTAATAATGCAAACAAACCAAGGCAAAAAATGAAATAAGCAACGTAATTAATTGCCTAGCTCATCCGTTTTTGACTAAAGATATTAATTTCTATTGAAATCCATTATCCATGACTATATATTAATCAAAAAAGACGTAAATAATTTTGTGCACTGTTGTCATTGTTATCAAACGTTTTTTTTGTAACAATTAAACATAACCTAAAATGTTTAGGTTGAGTCAACAATATCAAATAATGTATTCAAGACTTGAGGCCAGGAAGGAAGAGTAAGGAGACCGAACTCTGTGTTGAAAGCGCTTTGAAAATGTCTGAGAAATATGCACGAAAAGTGCCAGGCTCACTGCGTTCTAGTCGACCTCCAATTAAGTTGATCATGCGCATAAGCTGTGTTGTGTCTCTGTTTCTCGTAAAAATTGTGCGAGTGAGATGTAAGATCTAATGTTTACATTTAGCCGGTCTTAGTGAGATACATACATATACAATACATTTCGTTTTAATAATTATTTATTTATTTTATTTAAAAAATGTCGTGTTGTGTGCCAGGATGTAAAGAAAGAAAAAGAGTCTAAAAACATTAGTCTCTTCTATCCTTCTACGGTATGTAAATATACTCTAGTTATAAACACAATTCTTCTTAACCATTTTCGCAAAATTTTTCCCTTTTCATAAATATATTATTAAATTATTTTGAAAATCTAAATAATATCACAATTGCAAATAAATAAATTTGCTTTTAAAATTAACACTGTTTAAACTATGTAATATTTACCTTGACATAACCACACTTTTCATCTATGTCAACACTGAACTTTAGTTCAATGCGCATGATCGACTTAATTGGTGATCAACTAGAACACAGTGAGTCTGGCACTTTTCGTGCATATTTCTCAGACATTTGTAGAAGCAGAGTTCGGTCTCCTTACTCTTCCTTCCTGACTTTCTCAAATCTATTGTGCGTTGGATGTTGGTCTTTATTATGAAGTCTACCAAAATCGTAAAGGTGTGTATACCTCTGGCAATAGAAAATCAGTAAAGAAAATTACATTAAAACTATTAGTATTCATTATTATTATTAATTTAAAATTATTTAAAATTATGTTAAATTTAAATATGCAAAATACATATTAAATTACTTTGAATAAAAAAACCGAAAAAAAGTATAAATGCACCCTTATTTTTCGGTTTACGATTTATGGAGCATTTACAACAGGTGTAAAGCTGAGTCTCCAATAGGTGCCAATGTAGGTGCAAGTGCCAGTGCCAGTGCCAATCCCCAATACATTTTAAATGGGTTTGGCACTGGCACTGGCACTTTCACATGCATATTGGCACCTATTGGAGACTCAGCTTAAAGGTGGTAAATTAAGTGCTATACAGAACACAATGCAACGAAATCTATGGGGTAGAAAAGGACAGAGATAAACTTTTGTGCCTTTTTTTATCTCATTCATCACGTTCGCGAATTTATTGTGCTCAGGGCTTTACGCACAGTAACTCAGCTGCACAACAAATTGTTTTTTCTGTTTGAATATTATAAACGATTTCTTTTCTCGTCAAGTCAATCAGTAAAAAAATTGAACATTGTCGGGATTTTTCATATTCAATTAATACGAGTTGGTAAATTTAATCTAGTCTGATTTTTATTCACTGTCTTATGGATTCTACTAAATAAAATCATTCAACACTGACGTTACCGTATGTCTCCTGTGATTTCTCTCAAGGCCTCGTATTTATGTAACGGTTTTTTTTACTAGGTATTATTTTTCTTTTAATTATTTATTTTTCTAATAAGTTTTATTTGACTAACTCTATTTTTTATTTAATTTTTATGATCATCCCTATTTCTCAATTCATTACTAATACCATGTATTTATTAACACTCAATTTAAATATTTTCTTTCAAATACTGCAAAATGCGATATTTTCTTGAAGTGTATACTTATTCATCCTTGAAATTTTATTTGAGTTTTTAATTTTAGTGTACATATTATAATTTTTTTAGATTGCTGGAAAGTAATAAAACGCACATTCCGACAAGTGTGGTTTTAATAAAAATTGTACTTCAACGCAACGTTGTATTTTTAATCCGAATCATTTCGCGGATCACAGTTAGACGTTGTAATAAATTTAATTAAAAATTTAAAGAAAGTTACAGACTGAAAAAAAAGATAAAAAATATATAAATAATTCCCCCTTTTTGGAAAATGAAGTCCCTTTTTTATATAAAAGTTTCTTCATGTAAAATCCAAAATATATTTTAAATAATTGAAAAATTTTTAAACACTTCGAGAATTTTCCCTAAAAAATTTTAAAACATGTTTGGAAATTTTCTTGTATATAATATTGTTTGCAAATGAAAAAAAATAAAATTAGTAAAAATTTAAAATTACAAAAATTTTTTGAAACAAAAATTCAAGAAAATCGACGAATTTCTCGATTTTGAAATTTTCTATAGAAAAAAACAGAAAAACGACAATTTTTAAATTTTCAAAAATTTTCAAAATCGTTCAAAAAATTATTTTTTGCGTATAATTTAGTTGGAAAATAACAAAAAATTCATAAAATTAGTCAAAAATCAAGATTTTTAAATTTTCTGTAGAAAAAAAACAAAAAAAAAAACTCGACAAATTTTAATTTTTCATAAATTTTTAAAATCGTTCAAAGATTGAAAGTTTCGCGTATAATTTTGAAAATGAAAAAAAATAACAAATTTAGTCAAAATTTAAGATTGTAAAAACTTTCCTACAAAAAAAAAATTCGAAAAAATTGTCGAATTTCACGATTTTAAAATTTACTATAGAAAAATTTTCAAAATCGTTCAAAAACTTATTTTTTGCGTATAATTCAGTTGAAAAATGAAAAAAAAAATGTAGACGAAATTTAAGATTGCGAAAAATTTTCTGCAAAAGAAAATTCGATTTTGAAATTGTCTGTTAAGAAAAAAAAGAAAAAGCCGACGAATTTTAATTTTGCAGAAATTGTTAAAAATCCATCAGAAACTGAATTTTCGCGTATAATTTTGTTTAAAAATCATAAATTTTCTATTTGAATAAATCACAAATTTAATTTCACTTAAATTTTGAATGCTCAAATAAACAGAATTTCTTCTTCGGTTTAAATATTTTGAAAAATTATTTACTATTTAAAAAAAATGGAAGAATCGAATGTTTGAAATTTTCTGAACGTTTACTTAATTTTTACATTTTTTAAATATAAAAAAATGTTTTTTAATAAAATAAATAGTAACAATTATATTCATGTTTGTTTAAATTCAGTTTCTGTCTGTTATTTTTTTTCATGGAATTAATTTATTTCGTTATTATTTTCAGAAATTTTGTCAATTCACGATAGTCGAGAAAATTTGTCTTGATGTAAAAATTGAAGGGTGAACTATAATAAAGCAAAAAGAAAATATAATGGATCAAATAGATAAAAATAATTTGCAAAAAGTTGAATTAGACAAAGCTTCTGCGCCCCAAAGGCCAGTAGCAGGTTGCAGTAAAGAAATAATTAATATCCAAGAAAATGAAAATGAACTCACATTATCCGATGTTCTAGAAGCTCTTGAAGATATTCGTGTGAAATTTGCAGAGCGAACTGAAGAATTTGTTCGATTATTTGCAAATACTGAAGGTGACATTTCAAAAAGAATCGAAAATGAAGAAGAGATCGGTGCTATTCATTCACTGGCAAAGAATGTGTCAACTTTAAATTTATCTGACGATGGAGAACAACCACCAACTGTTAAACCTGTCGCGATCGCAAGCTCTTCGAAAACTGATGAGCTTTACTGCAAAGATACTTATTATAAACTTAGAGGAATTTTTCCGAACATCGATCCTTCTTTCATTAAAGAAAAATGCAAAAATCCTCCATTTAACATGATGGGACTCAGTAAAGAAGAACAACTTAACATGTTCGTCGCAGTATTATTAGCCGATGGTTCAAATCATGAAATTCCTATCGAAATTAGTGACGAATCGGATGAAGTTGATGAAAACAAAGACGAACAGTATGAGAGTCTTTTGGAAATATTTCCTGAAGCTGATCCGGAGTATTTGAGAAAAATTGTCGATACGTGTAATGGACAAAAACTCGAAAATTTTATTCAAACTAATTTAGAGAAACCAAATTATCCAACAAGGGCTGAGTTTCTTGAAAAAATGAAAAAAAAAAAAATTATTCGAGATCATACAACAGAATTTAGTGTTGATAAATTTCTCCAAATGTTTCCTAAGCCTATTGAGTATTTTGAAAATCCAGCACGGAAATGCGAATATAATGTGAATTCGAAACTTTTTCTAACAGACTACTTCAATAAGCATAAGGTAATTCAATTTTATCAATCAATCAATTGAATTTGCTTCAAGTCCGTAAAAGTCATTTTTTAAAAAAAAAGGTCCTTAAAGTCCGTAATTTGATTCAAAAAGAATGAAAAGTTTGTAAATTGTACGATATAATTTGAAGAATTTTAGAGAATTACAAATAATTATAGAAATTTAATAATTTTCAAAAGTAATGAAATTCTTAGCAGAAATTCAATTACGTTCAAAAATTTCATTAAAAATTCTCGTCAAAAATTTCAATTATCTATAAAAATAATTAAATTCTTCTCCAAAATTCAATTATTTTCAAAAATAAATTTCAATTATTAATAAAATTCTTGGCAAAATTTCAATTATTTTCAACAATGTTATTTTATTTTAAATTTAAATTTTATTTTTAATTCAATGATTTTTAATATCTACTATTTTTATTAAATTTTCCAAAAGAATTCAATTATTTAAAAAAAAATTAATAAAATTCCACCCAAACCTTTAATTATTTTTACATAATAATACCACAGGAATTCAATTATTTACATATTAATAATAATAAAGTAAATGTTCCGGTAATTTGTTCGCAGTTTTAAGTTAGTTGTTGTTTGCTTTTTTGTTTCTTAACTTTTTTTATAATTTTTCTTTCCAAATATTTTCAATTTGAAAATTAATGTATTGAAAATCATCGAATTGTTGCAAAAAATTTTGTCAAAAAATGTTATAATAATTCTTTCAAATAATTTTATTATTTAGGTAAATAACTGAATTCTCGGAAAGAATTTTATTAAAATTTTAAAAAATTCTAATTAAATTCTTTTAAAGAATTTCTTTAAAATTTTGAAAGCAATTGAATTTTATGAAGAAGAATTTTATTAAAATTGTATTGAAAATAATTAAATTCTTGAGAAGAATTTTACTATTTATAGAAATAATTGAATTATTTCAAAGAATTTTAATATTTAAAAAATTAATTGAAATGTTTCGAAAAATTTATTAAAATTTTAAGAAATAATTAAATTGCTTAATGAAGTTTATAGAAATATTTGAAAATAATGAAATTTTTTCGAGAAATTCAATTAAAGTTGTTTCGAAAATAATTTAATTGCTTCAAATTTTTTGACGAATATATATTTAAAAATTGCATTGAAAGTAATTTAATTTTTATGGTATAGAATTTTTTAAAAATATTTTGTGAATCGTTGAATTATTTTTAGAGAATTTTAAATTCTTGTTGAAATTGAATTTATGGAAATTTTTGAAAATAATTAAATTCTTTTGTGTAATATTAATTAAATTGTATTAAAAATAATTTAATTCCTGCAAAGAATTTTAGTATTAATGAAAATAGTTGAATTATTGTTTCGAAAAATTTATTAAAATTTGAGCAAATAATTGAATTTTATGAAAATATTTAAAAATATTTGAATTCGTCCGAGGAATTCAATTAAAATTGTTTTGAAAACAGTTGAATTTTTTTAAAGATTTTACTATTTAAAAAAATAATTGAATTTTTTAAAAGTTTTCAATTCTTTTGATGAATTTCCTAGAATTTTTTTAAAATAATGGAATTTTATTAATAATTTTAATTGGAAATTTTTAAAGTAATTGAATTTTATGAACAATTTTCGTTAAGTTTTTTAAATCAACGTATTTATTAATAATCAAAATTAAACATTTTATTATTGAATTTTATTAAAATTTTTTAAAAAATAATTAAACTCTTAGCATTTTATTACAATTTTCTAAAATAATTAAATTCATTCAAGGAATTTTATTAAAACATAGAAAATAATATTAAATTCTTTCAAAAATAAACATTTTCCAAGGAATTCAATTATTTAAAAAAAGATTTTTTTAATTCTTCATCAGATTTCAAATATTTTTAATTTTTTAATAGAATTTCTCGATAAAATTTAATTATTTTCAAAAAGTTTTTAAAAATTCTGAGAATTTCAATTATTTTAAAAAATGTGAATAAAATTCTTGACAAGAAATTAATTATTTTCATAAATAGTACAATTTTTCTCGAGAATTCAATTATTTAAAAAAGTTTTGATAAAATGTTTTATATAAATTTGAAAAATTATAAAAAAATATCTAATAATTTTTGGTAATATCATTATTTTAAAACTTTTGCGACACGGAGAATAATTAAAATTATTTTTTCTTTGATTTCAGATTGTTACGATACAAGCAATTTATAGAAAGAACAATTTTAATTTAAGTCTAACCGCTAATGTATTGCAAAATAAGAAAAAGGATTTGGTATCGAAACGACGTACTAATTATTCAATTGATAGAATTCAAGAAATGGCTCTAGTTCAAGAAATTACTTATATTAAATTCAAAAACGAAATAGTACAATATTTGGAGGATACGAAGAAGCGAGATGAGGAAGATTTTAAGAGATGTAAAGTTAGTTTCATTTTTAGAAGTAAATAACAAAAATCTTACAACAAATTAATAGTTAATTTGAATTTATTTCATAGGAACAGGGTTTATTGGTCGAATGTCAGTGCTGTTTTAGTAACGAGTGCCTGCCGAAAAAGTGTTTCGCCTGTGATGGCGGTCACCTTTTCTGCAACACTTGCATTTTGGTGGGAAGTGAGTCCAAGATCGGAGATGGACTGTATCAGATAAATTGTTTTGAAGACTGTGAACGAGAATTTAGTCTTTCGGTGCTGCAGAATGTTTTACCACCATCATTATTCAGCATTCTTCTGCAGAAGAGACAAGAGGCGGAAATAATTGCTGCTGGCATAGAAGGATTAGTGTCGTGTCCTTTTTGTCACTTTGCTTCTATACCACCACCGGAAACAAAAGTCTTTAAATGCCTGAATCCGGATTGCATGAAAGAGACTTGCAGGTGAGTTTCCATTGAGTTTAAAATTTATGTAAATGTGAACTTGTGTTGTAAATATGATTGTGGAAATCTAAACTTAATTTTATCTGTAGATCTTGCAAAGCATTAAATCATGTTCCATTGAGCTGCGAAGAATTAGTGAAAGAAGACGAAGCCCGTCTGAAGCTCGAGGAGAACATGACGAAAGCACTGGTACGCACATGTTACAAGTGCCAAAAACCCTTTTTCAAAGAAGAGGGATGCAACAAGATGACTTGCATGTGTGGAGCTTCAATGTGCTACCTGTGTTTAACGCCCCTCCAACAAGGAGACTACAAACACTTCAATGGACAAGGAGCGGAAAATGCAAATTTGTTAGTAAACAATTTTAATCCTTTGAGGATTAGTGTTTTTTTCAAGCAACAAGAACATTTTCTTCTTTAAAACGATTCAATTATTTTCGAAAAATACTCGAAATTCAATTATTTTCAATATCTAGTATTTTCATAAAATTTAGCAAAAGAATTCAATTATTTAAAAATAAATTGATAAAATTCATCCAAAAATCAATTATTTTCATAAATAATAAAATTACCACAGGAATATAATTATTTAAAATAAAATTTTCATAATATTTATTAATTATATTTCGAAAACATTATTTATTTAAAACAATGTTTATAAAATTCTTATGAAGAATTCAATTATTTTCAAAAATAACAAAATTTTTCACTGAAATTTAATTCTTTTCAAGCATTTTAATAAAATTTTTCGCAATAATTCAATTATTTTAAAAAATAATAAAATTCTTTTCAGAAATTCAATTATTTTTGAAAATTTTAATAAAATTATTTGCAACTATTCAATTATTTTCATAAATATTAAAATTCATCGCAAGATTTAAATAATTTTTAATACAATTTTACATGAATTGCTAAAAAAATGTAATTATTCTTAAGAATTTAATTTCAATTCCTGGAAAAAATCAATTATTTAAAAAAATTTTTTGTTTAATTCTTCGAATGAATTCAATTACTTACAAAAGTATTAGGATTTTTCACAGGAATTCAATTATTTTCAAATATTTTAATAAAATTGTTCGACAGTAATCAATTATTCTAAATACAATTTTAATTAAATTTTTTTGAAATAATTTAATTATTTTTTTAGATTTTAATAAAATTCTTCCCAAGAATTCAATTATTTACATAAATAATTCTTTGAAAGAATTCAATTATGTTTGATAAATAACAAAATTATTCCCGAAAATTCAATTATTTTCATAAATAACAATATTCGTCACAAGAATTTAATTATTTTTAAAAGTAATAAATTTCTTCTTGGAAATTCAATTATTTAAAAAATTCTAATAAATTCGTTTGCAAGAATTCAATTATTTTCATAAATAATAAAATGCTTTTTAGGAATTATATTATTTTAAAAAAATTTAATAAAATGACACATAGACATTCAATTATTCTCAAAAATTTTAAGAAAATTCTTTGTATAATCTAATTGTTTTTAAAAACTTTTCACAATTTAATGATTTTCAATAATCTACTATTTTCATAAAATCCCCATACACAATTCAATTATTTCAATAATTGTTTGTAAAAATTTTCGTAAGAATGCAATTCTTTTTATGAATAATAAAAATTTCTCAGGAATTCAATTATTTAATTTATTATTTACGAATTTCTTTAATTGGAAAATTATTTGAAAACATCAATAAATTATTTTTTAAGAAAATCAATTCTTATTAGAAAATTCTACGAGAATTCAATTATTTAAATACAAACATTGATAATGTTTCTTAAAATTCAACTTAGGAAATTTTTAAATAATTGCATTCTTTCGACGAATTTTAATCAAATTTTTAAGAACAATTATATTTTTCGAGGAATTCGATTAAAAATGTTTTAAAAATAATTGAAATTCTGCAATGAAGTTTTATTATATTTATAAAAGTAATTGAATTATTGCGAAGAATTTTATAAAAAAAAGTTTCAAACAATTGACTTTATTTTAAAAAATTTATACAAACTCTATTTTTAATGTTAAATTTTAAAACATTTGATTTTTTCGAAAAATTTATGCAAATTCTATTTTAAATAATTGAATTCATGTGAAATTTAAATTATTTTGGAAAATAATTGAATGTTCGTGTGGAACTTTATCAAAATTTTTGTTCAATAATTGAATTATTTTGGGAAATTTTATTAAAATAGTAGAATATTGAAAATCATTGAAATATTCATCAGAATTAAAAAAAAATTTTTTGAAAATAATTGAATTTCAAAAAAGAATTTTGATATTTATTAAGAAAGTTGAATATTCTTTGAAAGAATTGCGTTAAATCTTAAAAACTCTATTTAGGTGTCCTTTATGGAGCGATGACAAGCGAATGAACGCCGAAGCAGTTAGAAGAATTGCTGAAGTCACAGAAAGTGAACTTAAGAAGAAAAACCCCAATTTACAATTAACCGCGAAATCAATTTTACCAGCATTGCCACAAAAAGTAAAGGGGCCTCATGAAAATATTCCTAACGCAGATGCATTACCGGTGAGTAATTTACACTGATTTTAACATTTTTCATAATTTTTTATTCTTTATTGAACCTTTAAAAATATCTAAGAACCAAACTATTTTATTTCATCCTGTGAAATTTTGATCTTTTTAAAAAAAGTACGTTACAACAATTAAATATAAATGAAAAAAATTAAAATAAAATTAAAATAGAAATTACACTGTGTAAAATATAATGATTTGACACTTGTGTACCATATTCATTTTAGGAACACATTTTAAGAATGGCGAACAATCCGTAACAGCGATTTAGTGAATCAATCTTCCAAGTGCCAAAGGCTACTCAGGAATTTATTTTCTTCTACGACATTAATTTATTTTTATTTATAAGCGACAAATTAATTTACCAAACACTAGTCATCAACTTTCTTCAATGTGAGTTTCTCTATAAAAGCTTGCTACCGTGATTGAAGTATGTACCTTCTAAACTAGTCGAAATTTTATTTATATTTTAATTTAATCTAATTTAATCTAATCTTCAAAATATAAGGTCTTCCACGTTATTATTTGTATTATACTTAAAAAGATTTTCTTTCATTATTCAAAAAACAAATTTTGGTGGTGGTTGTGGTTGACTGATAATATTATATTGAAAAAAATTTGATTTAATGAAAATTGTACCTGTAATGTCGATATTAGCAAAAAGAGTTTGTAATGCTCTGACCTTGTCTTAGGTCCATTTATTTTTAAATTTAATAAGAAATTATTTAATGCACTTTTACTTCAATTTTAGTGAAAAAATGATAGTGAGAATAATTAATGTTATTTTTATATCATTTGCGAGGAGTTTAAGTATTAGATTATTCCAGTGAAAATCGTCAGAATTTCTTATTCGATTTTATATAACAAAAAGTGATAAAAAATTTGTGATTTTAGGACAATTATTATAAGAAATTTTATATAGTGCATTTTTTTATTTAATATAAGATAAAAATATTATAATTTTCTTAAATTTTGTATGCATTTAATGAGATAATAATTTAATAAAAATGTTTATTCGAATTTTTTCGTCTATTTTACTTGAGAATTGAATCCTCAACTGTTAAAATTTGTAAGTTTCCATCTTTGTTAAATTTATTAACTTTTATTAATACTAATAAAAATGTATTCCAAAATGAATTTCAATTTCAATTTTAGAAATTAAAATTAAAATTTGTCGTACTTTTAACTAACAATTCTGTAGAATTAATTTTTTTGAAAAAGTTTAATTGAATTTTTCTTTTTCTAGACAAGATTTTTATTAAAATTCTTCAAAATAATTGAATTTAAATAATATTTTTAAAAATAATTGTATTGTTTCGAGAAATTTTATCAAAATTGTATTGAAAATAATTGAATTCCTCAGAAACATTAATTTTATTATTTATAAAAATAATTGAATTCCTTTGAAGAATTTTATTATTTATGAAAATATTTTAATTCTTGCGAAGAATTTTCTTATTTATGCGAAAATAATTGATTTTTGCGGAGAATTTTACAATTCATAGAATTGAATCGTTTCGAAGAATTTTATCTGAATTTTTGAAAATAATTGAATTTTTCGAAGGAATTTTATTAATTTTGAAAATAATCATTTTTTTAAAAAAGAATATCACCAAAATTGTTCAAATTAATTGAATTTATATTAAAATTCTTGAAAATAATTGAATTTAATTAATATTTTTAAAAATAATTCTATTCTTTCGAGAAATTTCATTTTAATTGTAGTGAAAATAATTGAATTCTTGTGAAAAATTTTATTATTTATGAGAAAATTGAAATTTTTGCGAAAAATTTTATTAAAATTTTTGAATAATAATAATAAACAAGAATATTTAATATTATTATGTACTTAATAAATGAATTCTTTAAATTTTAAATTTATAATCATTCAAAAATTGATGTTTTTCTTGAAAATATAAAATTTTTTAATTTACAAATTTGTAAGAAATAGAGAATTTCCTAGTTATAAATAATCAAATTTACAACATATCCAAAGTTTATTAAAATCGATCCAGTAATTTTTGGTTAAAAAAATAAGTTTTTGATTTTGCTTTCCCAAAAAAAGCAAAGATTGAGTTCAAAATTGCAGAAATTTATATTCATGGGGAGCAAATTTGAGGAAAAAATATAATATTAACATTTTAATGTTACTTTATTTTGAAAATTTATTTACAATAGAATTATTTCCAAAATATAACTAAAAATCTTAATATATTACAGTCCTGTCGTATAAATCAATTCGAATCGAGTAATCCTGGAACCCGGTATAAAAATGTGCCATCGTCATCATAAAATGAATCTCTCACTCTGTAGGTCATTCCCATTTTATACCGTCGTCGTGGAATTTTTATAAAAGCTGCAACTTCAACATCATCAATATTCTTTTTATGCCATTCCTTTACGCAAGTTTCTAAGCTACTTTTATTTGACCCCAAGGAAATTTCATAATTTTTTTCTTCTAATGCAGGAGTCAGTTCCGTTTTGAGTGTCGAAATAGATTTATTGTTTTCAGAATTTTTAGAATTGTTTAATTCTCGACTTGTTTGTGAAGTTTGTAATTTTTCATTTACCTCAACTTCAGACATTTCATTTGTTGATGGAAAAACTTTACTTTCAAATAAAATCTTCTTTTCTATTTCCTTTTTGTAAACACTTTTTAAAACAATGTCTTCGATAGTGTTTGAATTTTCCTTAAGACGCACACTGCTTTCTAAAAATTCATCAAAAGTCACACGTTTATTGCGTTTGTTATCATTACATAAATTTGTCGAATTTGCAATTATTTCTTCTTCTGGTGGGGACGAATTGAATTCATCAAATTGAGTATCTTCAATAGAATCTTTACGGTTATTAAACTCTTCAAAAAATTCATTTTGCTCCCTAGTTTCGGAAAAATTTTGATTAACTTTTTCATTCATTTCATTGCTGGTGATACTATTTGAATTTGATTCACTTCCATTGCTGCTCGTTAAAAGTGCCTTAGCAATTGTTAAATATAATGTACTTGTTGGTTTTGGAATTTCTGCTCTAGGTGTTACAAATTGCTCTGCCAATTCATCTTTATGGCTGAGAATAATTTTTCTGTCACTGAATTTTTCAAGATGTTTTGTCAGCATTGGACTAACGGACAATTCTCCATCACGAAATGATATCCAATTTTCGGCAACTTTCTCATCGTAATTTAAAATATTTTGTTTTGTTTTAACACTCCAATCGTTTTTTAAAACTTTTTTTATTGTGCTAGGTAATGCTGGAAAACTTTCACTCAATTTTTCAATAGTCCACTCATCAGGATTATTTCTATGAAGAAGTTTTATTTGCTCCTTTTCAGCGAATGTTAGAAAACTTGGTTCTGCTTCTTTAATAAATTTGTTTATTGTCATTTTAGTTTTTATATTCAATTTCCTAATTTCCATTTCCCTGGAAATTACAAAAAAATTAATTAATTAATTTTTAAAGATTTATTTAAAGTTTTATTTACAAAATAAATATTTAATCATTATATATTAGAATTTAAACTAAAATAGTATTTTAACTTCGATTTGAAGGTTAATTTTCAAAATATAGTGAAATTAAAGTACTAACCTCTTATGCATTTTATATGATTGACCAACTTGATCGAAGTTAGGTTCTCGGTAATCAATATCATCCTTAAGACTTTCCAAATCAAAATTTTCATCTTCACATTCACTCAATTCTCTCAGTCGATTTTCAATGCCAGGATTGGCATTTCTTCTTTTCTTCAAAAATTGTAAAGAATTTCTCCTTTTCACACTTAATGCCTTTGTTGAATAAAACAATCTAGCTGTTTTTATCATTTTGAATTTGAAGAAATTAAACAAGTTTTTTTGAATAAAATATACAATAATTAAATATATTTATTCGGTGTAAAATATAATAAAAACATGCGGCATATTATTATGTTTTTAAAATTTCTCACTGTGTCTGATGTTTACCATGTGTTTGCCCTGGATTAACATATGATTAATCGTGATTGGCTAGATCCAATAGAATGTTCAAAGCCGTTCGCTAAAGGTGCGATTTTATAGGATAAATAGAAGCTCTTCTTTGGCAATCTGCATGAGGTAGAAAAGGACACATAATTATATCTGCCTTTTCTATCTTATGTAAGGGTGCATTCACACCTTTGTCGGTAGAAACAAATTTTTACCGAAATCGCCAAAGTTTAAAGATTAAACAAAATAAATAAATAACTAAATACAAAAAATAAAAATAAAATATTTATATTTAGTAATAAACGAAAGCCTTAGAGAAAAAAAGAAATTTCTTTAGAGAGAAAGAAAGACATATACTTCTATCCTTGTTACATTCACTACTCAACGCAAAACGCTGCGTTCGAACGCAAGAATGTAAACACAGCATAATATGCGATCGTAAATTTATTGTACATTGACCTTTACTTTTTCAATTCAAGATTCTAACCTCAATTTATTTCCCAAGTGTCAATCATGTGTCAATAATAATAAACAATATTTTTTGTTTATTGATTGATTGTTGAAGAAAAACAATTGTCATAAAATTTTTGTTCTTTAATAATTTTTATAATTATTTCAATGTTTTCTAATTGTTAAAATTTAAAGCATTAAGTTTGTTTTCTCTCATAATAATAACGATTTCCTTAAATTTCGAATTTCATGTAAGTATGGAAATTTATTTTTATTTATTTTTTTAATATATATAAAAAGTACGAAGTGTCTATTTCGCTCGTCAAGAATTTTTTATTTCGACCGTAACAAAAATACACAGTGACGGGCGAAATAAGAAGAATATCTTATTCTAAGAAACTGGCGAAATAAAAAAACTAGATTAATTCGCCCGTAAGAGAAATTATGACATGATTTATATAATAATGAATTAATTAGGAGAACTAAATTATTTCGTCGAATATAAATAATTAATCATAACCTCCAATTTATAACAATTTACAAAAATCACTGAATCTGATAAATTAAAAGGATTAAAAGAAAGTCTAAATTTTTTGTTAAATTACTATTATTGCTGCTAAACTTTCTTGTACGAGGAAAATTGAATTTCCCAAAAATTATTACTTAATACTTTCATTTTTAAAATAATTTTAAAATTATAAATAAACTTCATCACGAAAATTTTAATTATTCTAAAAAATAGGAAAAGTAAAAAAATGATTGTACATTTAATACCTTTTTGAATAACGAATTCCTTCGACTAATTATATGCAAATTCTAATTTAAATAATTGAATTCCTGATAAATTTTTTTCTTACGAAGATTTTTATACAAAAAATTAATTACAAAATTTAATTTTGTTTGGAAATTTTATGAAAGTAGTAGATATATTGAAAATCATTGAATTGCGAAAAGTTTTTAAAAATAATTATTAAATTTTACAAAGAATTCTATTAAAATTTATGAGAATAATTGAATGCCCGTGTGGCATTATCTTAAATTTTTTTGAAAATAATTGAATTCCTAAAAAGTATTTTATTATTTACAAAAATCATTAAATTCTTGCGAACGATTTTATTAGTTTTTTAAAATAATTGAATTTGCAAGAAAAAATTTATTACTTTTGAAAATAATTGAATTCTTGTGATGAATATTGTTATTTATGAAAATAATTGAATTTTGCAAAGAATTTTATTAAAATACATCAAAATAATTGAATTTTCGTGGAATAATTTTGTTATTTATCTTTAATAATTTAATTTTTGGGAAAAATTTTATTAAAATCTAAAAGAATAACTGAATTATTTCAAAAAAATTTAATTAAAATTGTAAATATAAAAAAAGTATTGTAAAATTGTATATAAAAAGTAAACAAAAATTGTAATTTCTATTTTTCTCTTTTTACGACAGGAAAATATGTCAGGAAACACAAAGAAAAATTGGACCGATCACAATGCAAAGCATAAAGAGAAAAGAAAAATTCTAATGGAAGAAAAATTAGAAAAAAAATCGAAAAAAAGTTCTGAAAATGATGTAGAAATTTCGAATGACAGTGAAGTGAAGAGCAAAGACATAAAGAAAAATTGTATCTCAACGCTTAGTATAGCAGTGCCAGGATCAATTCTAGACAATGCTCAATCTCCCGAATTACGGACTTACGTCGCTGGTCAAATTGCTCGTGCCGCGTGTATATACAAAGTGGATGAAATTATCGTTTTCGACGACAAGGGCGACGCAGCTCACGAGAAACTAAAAGAAAAACTAACTACCAACGAAGAGAGTAAATCCTGCCTTCAATTGGCTAGAATATTACAGTACCTCGAGTGTCCTCAATATCTACGTAAATATTTTTTCCCTCTACACAAAGACCTGCAATTCGCTGGACTATTAAATCCCCTCGACGCTCCACATCACTTGAGACAGCAGGACATTTCTCTCTTTCGCGAAGGTGTCGTTAAGAACAAACCATTGAAAGTAGGCAAAGGTTCTCAGGTGAACGTAGGACTTTTAAATGACGTCTACGTTGATAAAGTTCTCACCCCTGGAATTAGAGTAACTGTGAGACTTAGTCAAGAAGATGTCAACCTGAAGAAACTAAATGGCGTTGTAGTTTCTCCAAATGTGCCTAGATTAGAAACGGGTACCTACTGGGGTTACTCCGTTCGTCTGGCGAATTGTGTGAGTGAAATTTTCACAAAGTGTCCCTATGCAACGGGCTATGATCTATCCATTGGCACTTCGGATAAGGGATCGAACATTGACGATGTCTCTAATATGAGTCTCAAGTATTTTCATTCCTTAATTGTTTTTGGAGGACTCTCTGGTTTGGAGTCGGCCATTGAACAAGATCCTGTTTTGGATACCCAAGATCCTACTTTGGTATTCAATAAATATTTTAATACTTGTCCGGAGCAAGCTTCACGGGTTATTCGAACTGAGGAGGCTATTCTTATTTCGCTTGCTGAACTGAGGCATAAATTGTCTCCAATACATCAGCCAGTCAAGAATCAACAATTTATGGATACTGATTTTGTAAATAATTCCTAATTAATTAATTAATTCGAATTCGAGAATTTGTTACTGTTAAAATCTGCACGAATCTTATGCATTTTTATTCATATACCATTGTTGACTAATAAAAACAAGATTTTAAATTTGTACTCATTATTTAAAATTAGTTAGTTAGTCTTTAACTTCCGAGATTTTTAATAAAACAAGGTAAATAAAACGAAAACATTCGGAGAATGATAAAAAAAAATTACTTCAATGTTTCGAAATCTAAATAATATCCTCTTCAGGGAGTCTATCAATAAAAATATACAAAATTAAAATACAAATAATAATTTAAAAAATATTTAATATTTTAAAAGTAAAAGTTAAACAATATTATATAACACTTGTAATTTGTTTCAGTTATTTTCAATATATAATATTTTTATAAAATTTCGCAAAATAATTCAAATATTTAAAAAAAAATTAATAAAATTCATCCAAAATTCAATTATTTTCATGAATAATAAAACTCATCCAAGAATTTCAAAATTTTAAGAATTTTTAATACTATTTTAAATTAATTAATCGAAAAATTCAATTATTTTCACAAATAAAGTTTTCTACGAGAATTCAATTATTTAAAATAAAATATTCATAATAAATATTTATTATGTTACGAAAAATTAATAATTTAAAACAAATGTTTATAAAATTCCTATGAAGAATTCAATTATTTTCAAAAATAACAAAATTTTTCACAGAAATTCAATTATTTTCAAATATTTTAATAAAATTGTTCAAAATAATTCAATTTTTTTCATAAATAATAAAATTCTTAGGAAATATTCAATTATTTTCGTAAATAATTAAATGCATAGCAGGATTTCAATTATTTTTAATAAAATTTTACAGGAATTGCTCAAAAATTTAATTATTCTTAAAAATTTAATTTTAATTTATTGAAAAAATCAATTACTTAAAAAAAATGTTTTTGTTTTAAATTCTTCGGAAGAATTCAATTATTTACAAAAATATTAGAATTTTTCACAGGAATTCAATTATTTACAAAAATATTGGAATTCTTCACAGGAATTCAATTATTTGAAATGCTATTTAAATTAAATTTTTTTCAAATAATTCAATTATTCCTATAATTCAATTATTTTGAGGCATTTTAATAAAATTCTTTGCAAAATTCAATTATCTTTATAAATAACAATATTCATTACAAAAATTCAATTATTTTTATTTTTTCTTGGAAATTCAATAATTTTAAAAAATTCTAATAAAATCGTTCGCAAAAATTTAATTATTTTCAAAAAAATTTAATAAAATGTCACGCAGACATTCAATAATTCTTTAAAATTTTAATAGAATTTTTTGTAAAATTTAATTATTTTTAAAAACTTTTCGCAATTCAATGATTCTTAGTAAATCTACTATTTTCATAAAATTTCCAAACAGAATTCAATTATTTAAAATTTTTTTTTATAAAATTCTTCACAAGAATTAAATTATTTTTATAAATATTTAAATTCCTTTATGAATAAGAAAATTTGTTCCAGGAATTCAATTTATTAGCAGGATAAGAAAGGAGTAAATATTTTTGATAATAATTTAGGAAAAAATCAGGAAAATAATAAATATAGAATGGAATTTTTCTAACTTGAATTTAGTTTGCGACTTACGATAAAAATTGTCTGTTAATGTGTCATTTTTTCGTGCCCTTTTAAATAAAAAAATTTTTTTACTATGAAAAATGTATCGTGCATTTTATCATTTCAAAACACCTGAAAATATTTTTATTATTTTTATATTTAATACACTACCATTTTTTGTACCTCAATTTCATTCAAGAAATAATGTTATGCAACGAATATGTATTCATTATAACAAAACTGTTTCTGATCCTCAATCTAGTTATAGATTTATTTAATTCATCTCTCAACGAATTTATTCGATTTATTCATTCTACTTTCCATAGCACATAATTATTTTCTTCCTTATTTTCCAATTTTGTAAAGATTTATATTTTAAAAAATATTGCATTACCTTGATTGTTTTATTTTGTACTCCTGTTATTAGTTGTAACTCTTGAATTTCATAAAAACAAATTAATAAAAAACATAAAATCTTTTTGAAAAAAATAAATTTTTATTAATTAGTGACATTACTGACAAAAAAACTATGGGTTATGTTCAGGAAAGGTTTCTCTTGATTTAATATTCATTTTTAATTATCTGACGTCAAAAACAATTTTTATTAACTATTTTATGTACTAAATAATCAATAAAAATTGTTTTATCACTTCAGGTTCAAAAAGTAGACGTAAAATCAAGCAAAAATTTTCATAACCATAACCTAACCAACAAAAAGCGTTACATTTGTTTACAATCTGACGAGGTCAATGAACTATTGACGAAACAGCTAATAAAGACTTCTGTCTTAAAAATAATATTTGCTCTTTTCATTATTCAATTAAATCTAACCAAAATTTACTCCCCTTGCTCCAAAAACGACCAACATTCACATTAACAAATTGAAATTTCTTATTTCCTTTTTCCTTTAGACTAAAATCATGACTTTTCGTATGAGCTCAATGTTTATTATTTTTGTTTCTTTCATTATGTATAAATGCGTGTAACTCGTTTATGTAAAAAACTGGGTTATTAACAAGGGTAAAATAAATATATATATATTTATTTAAAATATTTTATTTTTTTTAATAATTTATTTCCAGAATATTTTTTATATTTTGTTTATAATATTCAAATAAATTAATATTTATGAATTAGTAAATTTTCAGTAATAATAATTATTTTTGCTAATTTTCAAATCTACTTTCCGTACTTTCTAAATAACTTTCTTGAATCTAGATAAAAAGTTTATAATTCCTGGGTAGTACTAAACGGATTTAAAAGTATTATAGGCTCCCCGAATATAACCCTAATAAAAACCGGCATTAGAAGTAAAGTTTATTTTATAAAGTTTGTTTATATTCTAAATATACATTATACAACAATGCAACGTTGCCGTATCGAGAAAATTAAATGCTGAGACTATTCTTTCCTTGTTCAACGCATATGTTACCATAGAAACATCGCATAAGACAAGGACAGAGAAAACTCGGCTTATCCGATTTCCAGAGTATTAATTTTTATTTATGCCAGCAAATAATAAATAAAAACCGACAGTAGTCAACAGTAGTAAATTCACAACTGCCAAAGAGACGACAAAGACTGACAATTATATCTTCGCCGCTTTTTTTATTCTCTTCCAATTTGAACTGCACCTTTAACTTGTCCTGCATTGTAGAAACAGCCTTAATGGATACTGGCAGTCGACTTATATAGTTTGTGAGTGAAATCAATGGAGGAAGTGTCAGTCAAAGAATCAACAAAAAGTTTGCACGTGACTTAATACACTCTTTTATTATTATTTGCACTTGAAATCTCAAAGGAATTATTCTTCCTTTTAAATAGAATTTATATTACTCGTGATTGAAGAAGATTCCCCCTTGAATGTTTATTTAAACTAGAAACACGAATCTCTCATTCTAATTCATGGTTTTTTTCGTGTGGTTGAAAAATTTTTAATAGTATATTTTTAAAATGTGAGAGAATTATAAAATATTTTGCATAATTACAGTGATATCAGTAAACAACGAAGATATTTTTATAATATGCTTGAACGGAAAATTAGCATTTTTTCATTAATAAGTTACAAATATGTATTATGTTCAATAAGGTGTACACAAATGCAAAAGGAAATTAATCGTTACACATAAAAGACTGATTCTATTTATTGAAGAGAGATATATACGAAAATAAGTGTTTCCCAACAAGCGAGAGGCAATTCAAAATGGATATAAACATTGACAAAGAGTGCAGTGTTCTGGGGAGGCTCTTTAATGAGATTATCACTGACATGAAGGTACACAATTTTTTTTATTAGTTGTAATCATTGTTTTTTTGTATTCTATTTGTTCTCCTCCATTCCGTTTCATTCGATTTTATTTATTTTAATCCAACTATTTATTTTAAGTGGAAAATTAAGAATGCGTATTTATTTTGTTTCTTAAAATTGATTTTACTTTTCAGTTTTAATGTATTTTTTCTTTTATAATAAATATGCATGACAATAAAAGTCGACACTAATTATTCTTTTAGATATTTTTCTCTAAATAATTATATTTTTTAGTGTTTTCTTTTACTTTTAATATAATAATTAATAATTTTCATTTACTAATATTAATAAAAATTTCTAGTTAAATTTAATTTGTAATAATTTGAAAAAAAATGTAGATATGTGTGAAACAACTTGTTACATAAAAGTAGTAATTATTATACACATGTGCATATGGTAGTGTTATGGTGACATTAAGATAACCCTTATTTGGTAATGTTACACTGTAACCTACATGTTTTATCGTATCGTGAGATTGATGTAATAATATTCTGTAATATTATTTTAATGTAGCGCATTCATAATATAGAGTAAACTTAAATGTGAAAGTATCCTTCCATGGTTGAAAATCATTGTACCGGAGACAGGTGCTTTATTAAGCATAAATAAACAGTCGAGTCTTTCTGAATGAACTCAATTTTTTAAATTTTCTCCCTTTTTCCCTTTATTTTTCAAGAAAAACTTTTAAAAATTGTCATTTTTTTCATTTTTTGAAAGTTAGAAAATTTTTTAGTTATGATTGCAGGTCTTGGATATTATGATTTTTCTAATTAAATTTTTGAATCTTTTTTTGAGGTAATTAAATTTATCAAATATGGGGCAAAATTCCTCATCTGTCCAGGTCAAAAAATGAATTTTCTCGAAACTTTGCCAAAATGTTACTATTATTAATAGAAGTGTAAATACAAATTATTATTGAATTTTATAAAATATTTTTTTAGTTACCGAGTTTCAAAATTTTGACTTTTTTGAAAAAAATCTTTTTTTAGATTTGATATAATTGTGAATAGTGATTTTTAAAGGGTTTTTCACGAGCTACAAGCTAGTGATGAAAAAAATTGTTTTCTTTTAATTTGACTTTGAAATTCACAATCCTTAATTTCAATATATCTTAAAAACGGTTTTTTATTTTTTTTTTTCTAACCTATCCCAATGGAAAGCTTACTTTCTAATTTTAAACAATCAATATTTTCTGTACTTTCAATTATATTGTTCCGAAAATTTAAATACAAACAAAAAATAAATTATAGCATTTTAAAATTATTTTCAACATTTTGGAAAAAATAATCATATGTGTCGCTCCACGAGAAAAGGGACCTTATGACAAGAGTAAATAAGGTCCCTTTTCTCGTGGAGCGTCACATATATTCAAAATTTTTAATTCAAATTCATCAAAAAATTGATTATTTTTTTTTTATTATAAAAAAATTCTTTTACGAAATTCAATTATTTTCGAAAAATTACATTCAAATATTTTTAAAAACTAAGGCTTAGAATTGTTCTATCATAATTTTTTAAGATTCAATTATCTTCGAACAAAGTAGATAAAAAATTATAAAAATTTTCTTTTTTGGCTTATTAAAATTTCGGAGAAAGTATGTTCTTATTTATAATTAAAATTCTTCAAAAATTGGATGACTTTTATTTATATTTTTATTTATATTTTTTAAAAATTCAATTATTTTTAAAAGATTTTACAAAATTTTAATTGTTTGAAATTTTTTCAATTGTATATATAATTAAAAAACTATTATCTTTCAAAATTTTTCGAAAAATATTTTTAAAAATTAATATTTTAAGAATTTCTTTATTATAATTTTTTGAAAATATTATACCTTATTATCTTTAGAGAAAAACATGGACAGTTACAATTATTATAAAAAATTGAGTTTTTTGTATTTAAATAATTGAATTCTAGAAGAACTTTCGGAAATTTTATACAATGAATTTATAACAATAATTTATGAATAAAATATATCTTATATAGATTTTTCATAAATAGAAAATGAATTTTTGTCTTCTGATTTCGCGTCATTTATTTGGGTCAAATTAAAAACAGAAAATCAATAGATTATAAAATAAATTGGATGATCCACAAGTTTTCAACTTTCGAATGAACGGAATAGTTTTTATTAAAAATATCTTCATAATTTTTTAATTTCATAAAATTTAGTAAGAACAGATATAACCATAGGAAGATAAAAAGAAACATTTTTGTATAAAAAGCATTTTCTTTTCCAAGAGAAATTTGTATTTAATGCTTCTGACAAAATGATATCTATTGACATCTAAAGCTTAAAAATAGTGTTTTACTTTCTCAGTAACAAGTGAAAAATAGAAATAGTTAAAAATTTTTAATCCTCTAGAGGCCCTTTGTGTAATGCTGAAGCGGTTTCCGGTATGGGAAGTGAGCAAAAGAGGAGATTAGATTTTTTTTAATGGGTATACCGAGAATAGACACGAGAGTCCCACATATCCACAAATAACGTCGTCATCAGGGGAATGCATTAAATATTTTTTGGATCATTTCACAAAAAATGGTTAATGCATTGCCCTAATTCTTATTGTCACCATCTCGACACCGCTACTCTTTTAATCATTTCTTTAAATTTAAAAATTTTAAATTATAATTTATTAATTTAGTTAGTTAAATTTTTTCTATTAATTTTTAATAGTTAAAAAATAAGTTTTATATTCATATTAATTAAATACCTGTTAAGTGAAGAAATGATAAATAATAAATAACCTGTCTTCCAAAAATCGACTAATTAACAAATGAGATAAATAATAAAATATTATTAATATTAAATTCACACTAATATTAAATAAATATAAACAAATATTAAAAATGATAAACCTATGTTTATCATTTTTTGTATTTCCTTCCGAAATGGAATTTAAAGTGCTTTTGATGAAAACGGCATCGTCAACTAACAATAAACAGAGGTCATAGAACATTTTTCTAAAAGAATTTATAATTGTAACTAACTTATGAAACAGTATAGAAAGACTTCTATGGTAAAGTATCGAAGCGTAATTTTCTATTATGAGAATTCTGAGAAAATCGCATTTAAAATTATTTCACATTTCCCCTATAGTTATAATTTCAATTTTAATCAGACTTGCAATATGATTTTGATGAATCGAATAACAACAAAAGCTTCTTTATTGCGTTTCCAATTTTACTTTTAATATTAAAATTTTGAGTAGGTATATTTTATAATTTTGTTATTAATTTCTATTTAAGTTATAATCGAATTTTCCCTTAAAGTATAAATGTCAAACCATTGGCAAGTTTTTTTAAAAATTTGATTGATATTTTTGAAAAATTGTACAGCTAAACCAAGACGCGCTACAAACCCTACAAACTTTGTTGATATCAGAAATTAAAGGCTAAACCATGACCTTTCAAATGAGCCCGAGCACTACACAAAACTTATCACATGTCCCCTAGAAGCAGGAAAACATTGTTTTTTTTTTATCTGCCATTTTGAATGTTTAAAAATGAATATAAAATTTGAATTGAGCGACCCAAAATACCCCTCTATAGTGAAATTATTGTTAAAAATTCAAAAGAATTTTAAAAATTATGTCCGCCATTTTGAATTTTTTAAATGAAGATTAAATTCGAATTCAGCGACCCCAAAAACCCTTATACACCAAATGTGAGTTAAACTAAAAAAAGTAATTTTTTTCATAAATTTTACTTCTTTTTAAAATTGTTATATTACTGAAAAATAATAAATAATTATTTATTTATTACTTAATCTAGTATCATTGAAACCTTATAGTGTGTGAATAATGACATAAAAGAATTTATCTTATAATTTACATAAGAAATTGCATTTATTTTGCGCTAAAAAGTTCACGACCCAGCGTTAGGTCGTTAACAGGCAACGTGTTAAAATAATCTCAAGTGCTTATTGAAGTAAAAGGAGCAATAAAAACGAAAATTTGGAATTTATGATGAAATGCAGGGAAATAGTGACATTAAAAAATTTTGATTACTTGTAAGTATCTATTCATTACGTAAAAAAAATATCAGTGATGAATTTCTTCTTTGTTGCAGAATGGAGCTCCACTTTGGGAAGATCTTATTTCCAAAGCGACAAAACTGCACTCCTGCTTAAGGTATACTATTTTTTTTTTATTCTTTGTTGTAATTATTAAAGAAATCTTCTATTAAGTGTATCCAAGATTCTTCCTCGTCATCCACATATTAGTTACGACAACAAATTTATAAAAATGCATTCTCTTGTATTTCTTATCAAAAAAATCTTTTCTTCATTATCTACAGAAGTTTTTATTTTTTAATTTTCCTATTAGCCGAAAACTAATAGAAATTGTAATTTGAAAGTTGTCAGTTATAAAAACTATTTTTTCTTCTATTTGTTGCAGAGCTGCTATTTTAGGAATTTCTGCATACTTGGAGGCGTTTCAAAGAATTGCTGACTGTGCTACAAATGCTAAAGGTAATAATTTAAATTTTAATCATATGAACAAAAAATGCAGCTTTTGATCTCTGACGGATCCACAGTGGGACAGATTACAAGAAATCTGTTCAAACCCCAAAAAATAAATATAAAAAAATGAAAGGTTTTAACTAACAAATATCTCCAAATTTATTGCAGGTGCAACTAAAGAGATTGGGACAGCTTTAACTAGAATATGTTTAAGGCATAAGGCGGTAGAAACACGCATGAAATCATTCACTAGGTACAGTAATTCCATATTTTTGAATTTATTTTCATATTATTTTGACATTTTGATTCACATTTTATGATATACATTATTAGTGCTATCATGGATTGCTTGGTCTTGCCACTTCAAGAAAAGTTAGAAGATTGGAAGAAATCACTTATTCATTTAGATAAGGAACACACCAAAGGTGAGTATTAATATTAATCAAAATTACTTTGTGGGTAGAAAATTTTTTTATTGTAATTTAATGTTAAGAAATATATTCCGTATTGGGTAATATCGACAAAACGAGAACAGTACGATTAAATTAACGATTAGTTAATTAATTATGGTATTTAAGAAGTATTAAATAAGTATTAAATCTAATATTGCAGAATTTAAAAAGGCTAGAGCTGAGTTAAAGAAAACTTCAACTGATACTTTAAGACTGCAAAAAAAGAAAGCGCGTAAAATTCAACTCGAAGGTTCAATGCAAAGTCATTTAAATATGACACCCAGTACTGAATTTAATAAACTGTTAAAATCATCGGCAGCAATTATCCAAGAGAAACGTTTAAGCTTGGAAGAAATAGAACGAAAAGCTATTCGTGCGGCTCTTATTGAAGAGCGTGGGAGATTCTGTCTATTTGCTAGGTTCTTGAAACCTATTTTGGTGAGTCAACTATATTAAAGTTTAACAGAATTAATTAGATTTGAAATTAGCTAGGGATGGAAAATTTCCTCAGATCTGAAATTTGATGTTTTTATTCTCATTTGCCAGGACGAGGAAATTGCTATGTTAATGGAATTAACACATATTCAAGAAGTTTCTGATCAATTACAAAGACATGTAACTTCGCCACATCAACTGCCACCTGCATCTGAGCAGGTGATATCAGACATTAAAGGCTGTGATCCTGCACAATGGTCTCTTTCGACACCACCTTCTAGTCCGTCCTTATCACTTGGTTCTCGAAAGAGTTCAGTGTGTTCGATAAGTTCATTGACAAGCAGTAGTAGTGGATCCTGCAAAAGTCATCCGAGCCCCTCGGGTCATCCTTGGCATAAATCTCTTATACAGGTGACATTTTTAATGAATTTGCTATTTTACCCATAAACACGGACCTTCATTTGATATAACACCAGTAGTTACATTTTGCCTTGATTTAAATTTCGTAGTAAACACTATAATTTCACCATTCTATATGGAAATTATTGTTAGATGTCCTAAGTGCTAAGAAGACAATTGTTTCAGGTACCTGTCTTCAGTCAGAATAATCAGAATGACGTGAATGCAGTGATAAAGTCAGATACCACATCTACTTGGACTGATCTACAAGAATCTTCTCAAGAAGATCAAAATTTAAAAGCAAAATGTGAAAGGCCTCATACTATTTCATCGGGTACTTATCATTTTATAGATTCTACAAAAAGCAAAAATGAAATAAATTAAAACTGTACCGAATAATGACCGAATTTTATTTGCAGCTTACGAAAAAGAACATCAAAGACCTGCACTCAGCGTTTATACGTTTCAAGCTCCCAACCGCGACAATAATACTTACAGCAGCAGTCAGCCCGTCTCACCTGTCTCATCATCATTATTATCATGCTCTTCCTTAAATCAGCAACTTGCAAAGAAGCAATTTCTCAAAAATAACGTTGGAAATAAACCTCCTATTCCAAACAGATGTTCTAGTTTAGAGCGCCCGAATAATCCGAATAAAAAAGATTCCCCTGGCAGTCCACGGGCAAAAGCTAAATTACCTTTGCCTGCCCATCTCGCGAAAGGTAAAATATATTTCAAGATTGTATGGCTTTCAAAGCAAATATTTTCTTTATAGGGTAAGAAACAATTTTCATTATGGTACTTTCTTTCAGAATTGCCAACTCATCCGTTTCAGCAACCAATGTATGTGAATATGCATGTGCTTGCTAATCTAGCCGCGACACGAGCACAGGAAATGCATCTTCCCCTACCTACAGATCCTCCGAATGTTGCTACTATGTCGCTGACTGATGAAAAGGTTATTCTTTCAATTAAAATTAAACTGTTTGATAAATTAACAAAAAGAGGCTTCTTCTTCTTCTTTACTACAGGGAAGCTGTAGCTAACGTTGATGTATTTAAACTTTGTTTCCAGACTGAAAGTAAAGAAAACGATGAAAGTTGCAGTTCACAGTCAAGTACTGTGACCGTTACTGGACATGGAGGTCAAAGTGTTACACAACAATCTCAAACTAAAAGCACTTGGAGTTCTTCTTCATGTTTAGTTGTGCGTAGAGATTCAAAGCAGCTATCGTCTGGAACTCATCCCTCATCAAAACGTATTTCATCTATGATTGGAGAGAGTCTTAGTACTTTCTCCACTCAAAGTAGCGATGACTGCTGTGTAAGTACTTCTGAGGATACAGAAAATTTGCCTCCGCCACCAGCATTTCTACTAGAGGGATCTTCACCTAATACTAGTCCAACACCGAAAAGGTAATAACTAATCTACTAAATTTTTTTGCAGCCGTATTTCTTTTATTCGGATCGACTTCGTTGCTTTTTTTCAATTCAACATGTCTCTTTTATTTAAGTTTGTTATAATTCTTTCAAAAGTACTTAAATTTTGCTTTAGTTTCTCTAAAGTTAAAGTAATTAGAATTAAATGAATCCACTGCTTGAAGATATGGGGAATTTACATAATTTCACAAGAAGTGCAAATGAAAATAGTACAACTTTTGAAAATGATCTAGAAATCGATAGTGACTCAGATATTTCTGATATTGAATACGATAATAATATTGAGAGCTAAGTGATTCCGATACGCAAAGTGATAGTGAATACGAAAAAAAACCGACTTCTCCTGTTGACTCAATGTTTATTTCAAAAAACCAAGTGCAACTTACGTCGAAGTCCAGAATTTTTACGTCAACTTGCTTTTCAATTAGCAGACGAGCATATGAAAAGGCGTGTTCGAGAACACCGCTAGTGCAAGCTTCAAAAGATTTATTAACTGAAATAAGAGGTTCGTCTCCATGTTCTGAGACTTCACCAACTTCTTCTAGATCAAATTCACCAACCAGTTCGCCATTTTAACCAAAATCAATTAATTATTTGACAATAGGTTAGTAATGAACGTTATCTACACTTTGAGTTGAAATTGAAAGTTCCTATTAAAAACTATTTGCAAAATATGACAACAAAATTGAAGTCCACAACTCATCCATATATCCCTTATGATAAATTGCAATTTGAACGTTTGACAATAGTAGATGAATCAAAATAAATCAAATGTTGCAAAATGTTTGCTCTGCAACAATATTTTGAAAAATATTGGATACAAACGTCTGTTATAACATAGGTAAGAATAAATAATTTATAATTTTTTTTTATAAACATTTTTGTTTCAAATTAATATATTCATCCTGAATTCCCCTTTGTGTTAAATAAAGAATAATTACTGTTTATTTGTTAAAGGAATATTTGCAACAACGAACAAAATAAAAGTGTTTTTCAAAGTTTTGTTGGAAAGCAAGCATAAGGCCACATTTTTTCCGTTTTCCAATTTTTGTAATTCGAAACATAATTCTTTCCACGAATTATGTTTCGGTCGACAATCACGATTCATAGTGACAAAAATGTACACATTTGAGTATTTACAAAACAATTCAAAAAGATTTCCTATAACAACAAAACTGACCTAAAGATACGAATACGTGACTATTTAAGGTTATGTAGCTTAATCTCACACCCGTGCTATATGTATAATACATTTTGTAGAAAACCGAAGAGCTATATTACGTATGTAATATACGTAGAAAACCTATGTAACTTACCTGAGGTATATTACGTGCACAACCCTGGTCACTTAGTCTTTAATTCAGAATGGCCGCTGCCAGTGTTTTGACAGGACGGAAAAAAGAAATAATTTTCGTCTTCCTGGTGCTCTTGAATACTCGGGAATCACATCCGAATATACAGTATGAGTATCTGACTATGAATCATCCCTAAGCGTGAGTGCGAGTGAGCGCACATTGAACGCTGACTGACTGGGCTGACAGTATTCCTACTGTATGTACCAGGAAGCATTCCCCCTGATGACTTCGGCCAATTCGATAAGTGATGGTGGATTTGCGGATTTTCCAAATGAACATTTCTCGATGAATATGAAAAATAATAAAATACGAACAGCAGAATAGTTTAAACTTTCAGAATAATTTTTTTATACCTTGACTAATATTATGAACCAAAAATTTGTCTGAGTTTTATGACAATTTTTTCAATTATTAAGTTTTCTTTAATTTTCAGGTCTCTGTCGGTTTCTGAAACCGTGCGAACTTTAACTGAACTGCGGCACACACCCGCAAGTCCATCTTTATTGCGAAAGGTGACTGGACAAAATGTTGCAACAGCAACAGTACCACATAACTCAGTTCTACAAATTAGTCGAACCCATTTAGAACGTTGCAGTCAAGATTCTTCCAGCAGCGTTTCAAGTTTTATAGACACGAGTAATGAGGCGACAGGCCCAGGAGGTGTGGGTCAAAGTTTCATGGCTGTACTCAGTGCAAAATTTATGAATTCAGCGCCGGTTGCAAATGATGTATCAAGCATAAGTAGCAGCAGTAGTAGTCCAAAGTCTTCTAAAAAGCATTTATCAGAGCAGCAATCAAACAAGCATACAAAACATAATTCCGGATTTTTTGAATCACTTAACGTTAAACTTTTGCAACAGCCGCAAATAATAAACAATAGATCTGCAACTGTTAGAAAAATAATGGGCAATAGAACGCCAATAACAGATCCATTAGAGGTCAGAGTTTCTCTAATGGATCAAATCCGAAAGGGAACTTCTCTTCGTAAAACAAGGGGTCCTATAAATGATCGTTCTGCACCCAAAATATATTAGCTAAGTTCGTATATCAGATTGTTCTCTAACTGCGCTTTTAGTTCTTTTTTGTGGAAACAAGACAATAGGCAAGGCATATATTGTATACGTATAGTTCCAGTGCACACTGTAAGAAAACTATAAATTCAATTTTAAATTGAAGTCTTATAAGTTGATGTTTGTAATGTTGTTCAATGTATTAATATACAAAAAAAACTATCAACATTCTAGTCTACATCTCTATACAAAATTTATTTTATAAGGCATCAATTTATGTATCTAAAAAATAATTTATAAAGTCAACTCTTTTATGATTATAATGACGCTAATTAATATAGCTTTAAAAATTGTTCGGCATCGTAACAGCTTTAATGTATTGTATTTTAATGTGTTTTTGTACTAGAAAACATGTAATATGTTTTGATTGCTATAAGAAAGGGAGAGAAACGTAGCATCAGCTAAACCTAATATATATACCTTAGTATTAAAACAATTTTTGAACTCTAAATATAAATCTCGATGAAACTGTCCTATCGCATTATACGAATAAAATAATTATTAAGAAATAAATTTATGACATAAATGTCATAAGAAAAAATTTTGAAAAAGTTCTACAAAGCCAATTTTTTTAATACTCAATATGACGAAGTATTATGCTTTTTATTCACGAATGCATATTTAGAGTTCAAAATTCGTTTACACTCAACTGATATTATTATTATAAGTGACAAAATATTGTTGGTGTAATTCCTTTTTCTAAGTTATTTATTATTAATTGGTTTATTTAAAATTAGACAATAGTTTTCCTTTTAATACTTTCTACATACTTTATGTTAATTTATTTAATCTCTTTTTTACAGAAATGTAAAGATAATAAAACTGAAAATTAAAAATATATAAAGTAGTATTTATTGTGAAAGAATCTCTGGTTTGACGGAATTTTGAAAAGTCGTGTCATTTCTATAAAATATTCTTAGTTCGTGGCGTATGAATATTTATTCAGTCATGAAGAATCGGAACAACGGAGGCCTGCATTTCAATACACAATCTTTTAAGGAAGTCAAAAATAGTTTCCTGGTTTATTTTGATGTAAATCCTGAATATTCAATAACACTAGGAAGAAGAAAACTGTTCTTTACTACTTTCGTCTTGGCAAAGATATGGATAATTTGGTTTTCTGTTTTACCGACCGCGGATAACTGAACTCTGATATTTAATTATTTGGCAGGTGGCCAGTAGGTGGTGTCTTTTGGCCACCTACCATTTTGGAGACTCACTCGTAAAAAAATGCGTTGAAACAGGACGCCGATTTGGTTGACAAGTCGGCCATTTAATTTTATTCTCGTTTTGATAGAGATATTCTAAGAAAAGTAATAAATATCCTAACATAATTCTTTTTATTTTGTTCTCCAGAGATCATACAGATTTATTTCTAAAAGTATCAATTATTCTAAAAATTAGGCCGCAACGACTTTATTCGAAATATAATGGTTTGACTCAAATGTTATACTAAATTTTAAGGTTTTTATCCAATGTTAATGCTATATTTTATACATTGTTTTGAAAAAAAATTATTTTTGGTTTTAAAAAAATATTTTTTCTACGCATATCTTAGTTTTTGAATATTTTAAGCTTTCATTTTTGTTTGTTCTAACAAAAATTAACAAAAAAATCACGAGTTGAAGTTAAAACACGTTAAAATTTTTCGATTTTTAAAAATGCAGTTTTTTCTCATTATTTTAAGAAGGAAAAAATGTAGAAAATTTTTTATAGAAGAAAAAAGATGTAGAATTTTATTTTCTACTTGCTTCATATTATCTGTTAAAGGTAAATTTATAATGAGACAATTGGTTTATTAGAAATTTTAATAATTCCTGTACTGAGTTTTATTATTTATTTCATTATTTATTCTATATTAAATTAATTGTTTTATTTAATTTTCTTGTTATTTTATGTCGATTAATTGAAATATATTATTATTTTTGTTTTATTAATTACAATATATTTGAGTTGGCACTTACCTCTCATCATCGACTGCATTCTTACACATAATTCTAACATTAAATAAATACAGTTCTGTACAGTATATATAGTTTCGCATTATGATAATAAATCAAAAAATTATAAAAATTAATTTTAAATCTAATATATTAGAGAAAATACTATAATAATGAACATTACGTTTAAATTACTTTTTTTAATTTGAAAAAAATTGAACCTGGATAAAAATAAAAAACATAACTTTTTACCGAGGGGCTGATCACTCAGAATCCAATTCAACAATAATTTGAAAATTTATTATTATTTGCATGGATTCACATGGAATCGACTGGAATCGTAGGTGACGAATTCTCTGAATCTTGGATTCACATGAAATCGCTTGGATTCGTAAAAGGCAAATCCTTATGATTTCTTAAAATTCGGGCGGATTCTCCACGGATTTCTTTGTATTCGTAAATAATCGTTATCTTACGAATCTTGGATACGAGAGTGAACAGCTCCTCGCTTTTTACTAAATTATAACTTAGAAAATTAACCCTCAGAGCACATATTACATTTTAAATAATTTTAATTTCTGACGAAAAAATATTTTAGTCTTTAACTTACCTGTAAACGAAGCTGAAACTTATCTTCTTACCAAAATGAATTTTGTTTCGCATAAAAATATATTGACAATAATTTTTACTTTATAAGTTTGAATTTTTTCTAAATTTGAGCATATACAGTATATCGTACAATAAAATTTTGTTGTCAAATAAGGCACAACATTGTTTTTAAAGATTTTTAAGAGATCAAAATTAACAGACTAGTTTATTAAATAACAAACGTGTTCGAATCTATAAAAGTGATAAATAATTTGAATAATATTGAAATTGTCATTCACTGAAAACATAATTATAATAATTATATTATACAGAAATAAGCAAATTAGAAATTTTGAATTACGTAATAAAAAGAGGTGGTGTTTAAATAGATTTTGTATTTGAACGTCTTAATTTTTAAATATTTCAGATGTTTGTGATTAAAAATTGCATATCATTTGCAAAATTTTTGGTTAAATCAGACTCTTTGTTAATATCAAACTAAATACTAAACGAAAAGTCATTAGTACATTTATTCTTGAAACTAAAGATTCGTAAGGGCAACAAATCTTTTAATTTGTAAATATTATTCATTGTTGGTAACTTTTTGTAATTAAAAATGTTCATAATTCTTTTATTATCAATATAAAAGAATTGCATTCTAAAGTATATTGTACGAAAGTAATAGTTTACAAAAATATAAATAAACTTATTAGAAAAAAAACATTTTTCGATGTAAAATTGTCGATCTAAAATCCAGTGCTTCTAACAAGTGATGGTTAGAAAATTTTTTTTTTGATTGTGTTTTTCTGCAAGTTTCATTCTATAAAAATTTGTTAATAATAATTCTTACCTAGTTCTTATTATACACTATAATTTATTTAAAATAAAATTATATAACGAAACAATGTCAAACTTCTTTCCATTTTTTTCTTTTTAATAATTTCAAAAGAAAAACAATATTTAATAAATTGAAAAACAAATAAATATATTTAAAACATTAAAGAATAATGTGGCCTTTAAGTTAAAAAAAAAATTGTAACCAAGTATTTAAATGGCAGCTTTTGAGAAATATTCTTATCACAAAGGAGAGAGCATTTTATCAGGTGACGTCAATGTCTTCATTTTCTTCAGTATCAGTATCTTCTGTTATTTGTGGACTTGGCGATGGGCTGGGAGAAATATACTCTATTTTCTGTCTGTCTCCATCCGCATCACTTAAATTTGGGTTGGGATTATTTTTGCTTGGCAGTGTTTGCTCTCGGGATCCTCCATTGGCTAATAATTCCCTCTCTTTACTGTTCCTCCATTTCATGCGACGATTTTGAAACCATATTTTTACCTGCAATTCAAAAATGTAATGATAATATTATTTTTTTAAGCTCTTGTCGCCATTCTTTAAAATCCAAAATGGCTGATCCAAAATGGCGGACTCAATATCACTCGGTCATCTTTAATTATTATAAAACATTTATTTTATAGTAAGTAAAATGTTCTCTTATTTCACTCGGATTGGTTATTTTTTTGTCAGTAATTGATCCGTAATTTTTCATTGTTGACCCGTAAAATCTGTATTATTTTTAAATATATACTTTCATTGGTTCGAGCCCTGAGATTTGGTATGAAGATAATTTATAATTAAAAATAGTAAAATTTTTTAAAAATGTACGAAATAATTAGTGATACTATTGCTTAGGCCACTTATAAAAAGATCTAATTCCGTCATAAAATCTTGTTTATGTTGACATGGAATACACCCTTTGAAAGAGTAATATTCCTCTTAAATTGAGAAGTTTTTCCAGTGTGCTTTTATAAATTGATTTTATGAAAGTCGAGCTAAGGCAAACACAAATAATACCTTGTTAATGGTTACAAATTGATTTGACTGATGGAATGTAGGAAATTCTATACACTGTAATATAAACCTTAATGGTCAATCGATCTTAAACGTCACTGCCAGGTTCATGGGAATAACAGGATTCATTTTTTCCGAAGTTTCTTTTCATTTTACAGGATAAATTTTTGCCAAAATGTAAATTCACTTAGAATTCATTTATAATAAACAGAAACTTTTGTTTTATGTACAAATGATATGTGTTTGTGTTTAAACTAATGTAAATCCTGCTGGAACCTTTGATAGTGAAAATTATTTAATTTCCAGATTAGAATTTTAAGATAATTCTTTTCCTAAAGTCTCTACTTATAGTGAAGAGTCAAATGGATGTAAGTGTAATCTAGTTATCAATTAAAACCAGGCGAGGGCCGACTATACAAGACAAGTAGGGGTTGTACTCGAATTGAATTATTTTGCTCCAGGACACAATTACGATAGATGTAGTTACTACTAAAACAAGTGAATTGTCTTGAAAATGGGGTCCTTAATTTAAAAGATAAGTCGTCCAATGAAAAACGCATTCTTTCGCATCGCAAATTAAAAGACTACTAGCGTGAGTCTGACAGCCTGTCATCCCAGTGTTACCTTAAACCGACGTGTACGTCGACCTGGATTACTTTAAAGACAACATGCCCTCTGGGTTTTTTCAATATTTCACTCCGTTAATTACGCTGAACTTCAAGTGTCTTAAAAAAGTTTTCCTTATGTTAAAGACGTTTTTCGTGGGCCTGTATTTTTTCTTAATCAATTTCTAAATGGATTTTCCTATCAGCAAATCCAAGTGTTTAGATTTAAAGATTTTATATATCATTTTTTCAAGTGGTTATAATATAATAATTTTTTGCAAGAAATAAGCTCACCTGCGAATCTTTAAGTCCAAGTTTCTCAGCTAGTCTTTTGCGATCGGGTTTACTTATGTACTTCTGTTGCTGGAATTTCTTCTCAAGTCCCCGTCTTTGTAAATCCGAAAAAACTGCCCTTCTCATCATACCTCTTCGTGGCTTACCTCGAGGACAACCAGACCATGGAAAACCTATTGCCATACTAGCTACATCGTTCAATGTGCCTTGCATCCCTCCTGGAAAGACTGTTCCTCCACCGGGATTTCCCATTTGGTTTCCAGGACCCGAGTTTGAACCTAAAAAAAGAATACCTTATTTATTTTCATAAATAATTTCATCATTTAATAAATTTCAGTTTTTAGATTTAAATAACTTTTTTTAATACTTATTACAAGTGTTTAATGAAGACTACCTCTTTAATTCTACATCAAAATTCCCTTTATATCCTATTTTGATATTTTTCAGAGTAAATATATAATCTTATAGTGCCCAACACAATGTTATAAAATATCATATAATAATTACAATTAAATTAAATGGTAATATAAAATAATTCCATAGAAATATATATGTTTTTTAAAAGACACCATGTCACAAGTTCAGTTTGTGTTGACGAACAGTTTTTTTCTAGCCTATTTACCTAGAAATTTAAAAAACATCAATTTTTATGTCTCATTCACTGCATCCGACGCGACGAGATGTGCAATACTGCAGTTTTGTCAAATATCTTGTGTTGTCGTATGGGACATAAAGTAAATATGGAATGCACTAAAAGCTCTAGCGTATATTATACACATATAAATGTATGCATAAATTTATATACACTGCCGCAAGCGAAATGTATACATGCAACAAGTGCGTGCAAATATCATTGAAGCAGATAATATCAGTATGCTCTGTTTGACACTATCGGTTAGATACCAGCTTGCAAATTCAATTGTCCGTTTAACAATAGATATATTTATTTTCACACTGGGCTAATTAAATTACACTTAATAAAGTAACAATAGCACTTTTTTTGAATATTGGGTTTGGTCGAGCTGCTTCATTAAAAATTTTATAAATCCTCTATAAAATTTTATAGATATATTCTATGTCTCTTAATATAAATTCTTCCAACAGCTAACAAAAAAGAAACAAAAATAAAGAATAACAATAAATAAATAAACAAAATAAAATAAAATTAATAAAACAGTATCAAGATATTCTATACATTTTCTCCTATGATGGATTTGCTTGAAACTTGTTACATAGAGGTTTTTCGGATCGCTGAATTCGAATCTGAAGTCAAAGTTTAAAATACCAGAACCAATATGTCAGACTAAAAAATTAAAAATCAATAGGATTTGTTTGCAAGTTGTTACTCGGGGCTTTTTTGGATCGCTGCTTACAAATCTGATGTTGAAATTTCATAATATATCAAATAACATCAAATATTTTTATCCCAGAAATATTGGATCCGACATTTTGAATGTTTTTATAATCTGATAGCAGAATCGTAATCAGCGACCCCAAAAACCCTCGCGTACCTATTTTTTAACGAATTGCATGAATTTTTAATTTTTCTGTTCGCCATGCTGGATCCGCCATTTTGAATTATTGAAATCTGTACAAGTAGATTCGTAATCAGCGACTCGGAAAACCACTAAATACAAAGTTGTTGTTTTCCTTTGAAATTACTACATTTTTTAAAAAAATAATCTTGTAACATTTTAAAAAATAATGTAAAAATTTTTTTTAAAACAATTTTTATGTTATATTTGGATAGACATATATGGTTTTGACGAAAAAAGTTAACAATTTTTTTTTTATAAAATATTATTGTATAAAGTTCGAGCTAACATTCTGTGCATTTGGACATTAATTAGTTAAAAATAAAAATTTTGAGTTTAGTTTCAAAAACAGGACCTTAAAAACCTAAAATAAACAAAGTTTCAAGTGAGTCCTACTGATTTTTAATTTTTTCGTCCGTCATATGACATTTTGAATATTGAAATTGACGTGTAATGTAAATTACATTTTCATTTCATAATGTTTTAATAATGTTTTGAAATTTAAATTTGATAAATATATTTTCAAAATTATCATCTGAATACAGAGAACCCGCTGTCGGTGAAATAGAGAGCGCCGCTGTTCTGCGCGCTCCACATATCGATTGAGAGCCGTATTGAAACCACCCTACTCCGCATTGAACACGTATTTGAGATTTCATCTTATCTTACTTCATTAAATTTTAATAATTAAACTCGTCGTTAATATTTTTTCATTCCTGGAACTAGCATTTTTTACAACTTACTCTAATGCATTACTTCTGAAATGCATTTTCGTTTTTATTAAGTTTAATACTTGGCGTTTCGTCACAGAATCACAGACTTTTCGTTGCGATTGGACAATAATACGTTGTATAATTTTAATTATAATTTGAATATATAATTTTCAATATAATTTGTCCTTCTCTATAGTAGAATGCTGACGTTGGTAGAGTGATCTGATCATTATTCCAATAGAATGTCTGAGCGGCATCTTGTACTAAAAAACTAATTTTCAGCAATATTACATTGAACAATTATTTTACAATTCTTAATGGATTATTTCCTATTCTTGAAATAAAGCGCTTGTTGATCAGCAATATAAGTATGAGGTCTTAATTATCGATACAAAGTCTTTTTTACCAGGCATCACTCGAGTGTTATCTTCTCTGAGATGAAAGATTTTACTAAATTTTCAGTTTCAACTGCGATAACTGACTTCCATTTCAAGAATTTTATGACACTAAAATCCTTGATTTTTTAACTAATTCTTTACGTATTCCGTCTGTCCCGTAGATATGTTGCAAACTCTTATGCAACACTCCAAGATTTAGGTGCACAAGAAACAATCATCATTTCTGTATAGTCTTTGACGTTGTAGGATCATTAAATTTTTCTTTCAGTTGGTCAATAATTTCTAAATCAGCAGATTTTATATAATTATTATAATTAGCTTTTCTTCAACAGTAATAGTTTGCTTCTGTTTATTCCGATTACTCCTTTGATATTTCATCTCCTAGTTCATGATTATTATTAATCAAAATATTAAATCCTGACTGAGGTGGATTATCAGTTATAAATTAAATAATTTATAAAGAATAAAGATGACATTCTGTTATTCGGCACATATAATCTACATACCTAGTTTAGACATATTTTTTAAGCCACTTTCAAAATTTATTTAAATGATCAAAGGTCTTAGAAAATAAAATTTGAATTTTCTTTTAGTGAACTAAATGGGAATTTTCAATAGGGAAATATAGAATATTTGTTACTTACCAGAAATAAAAGAACTTCGACACAAAAAATGTTGAATCGGATGATGTTGAGGTGGTGCTTGTCCCGAATGCGATGGATGATAGGGATGATAGGTTGCTACATGCCTCGCTATTGGTTTTGCAATACTGCATGCTGTCGAATTTTGATAATTTTGAAAAATCATAGGTATCGCCACAGCCGGAATAACAGGAAAATTTTCTGTAAAATAAAACATGTGTCAATATTAAAAAAATATTTAAATACAACTCAGCAATATACATTCAAAATTTATCCTTAGGATAATATTTTAAGTGTTCCGGGAAATTATTCTTTAAATAATTTATTTTGTACAAAAATATAATGAATTGATCTCTATATTTGTTTCCGTAAATTTCGCTTTGTCGATTATTCGAAAGATTTAAAATTATGAATTTTTCTAAACGAAAAAAAAGAATGTTGCGCATTCAGAATACGAAGTCAGAATTCTTTTATATTGCTTTATTTCTGCAGGGAATAGAGAATAATTGGTTTTACCGATATTTTTCTATTCTGCCTGGAATTGAATTTTTGCCGGAAATTCGCTTATTCAGAAAAATTAAAAAATCCTCTCCTCGCGTTTTACGAACAAATGTTTGGAAATCTTCCACTATTTTTCGATTTTTAGCGAACAAATACTTATCGCATCTATTAATAAATCTAGCTCCTAAAACTCTTCTTGTACAGTAAGATTTATGAAAAAAAATTGTTTTCATTATTTCGACAATAGAGAAGATAATTTTTTCGTCCTCAATAAACTCTGAGCCTGCACTTAATAATTTTTCAATATAACTGCTTGATTTAATGCTAACCTGTTGAAGAATCTAGTTAATACCACTACAGCCTGTCCCTTTAAGCCTCAAGAATAATAACCTATCGACATTTAAAAAAAAAAGTTAAGCCGGTCCAGAAAAGACGACAACTGTAACAACACACCATGTATATACTTTATATACTTGCTCTAACTTAATCCTATACATGAGGGTTAAGATAAAATAGCGATACCTATTTAGTGTTTCCGTTGGAACTCAAATCGTTAATAGTTTTGTGCGTTTCGCAGTTGATCTCTCATTGGCTCCCTAGGAAAACAGCGATAAAATACGATGAGTATTTGATGGGGCTTCTCTCACAATGGGTTCCTGTGTATAGGCTATTGTCGTGCATTGTTTGGCTAAACGCAAAGCAAACCCTTCGACTAAGCTCCATTATTTTATTACTTTCAAATACGTCACTTTTTTTTCTGTTGTGATGGGTGTGGCAGCGAAAGCAAAGGCAAAGGAAAAAACGACAAAATTGTTTAAAATACAGCAATACCAAACCCCTTATATGCATTATGATTATTATAAACAGGATAAGGGTGACTTAACCCATAATGTTTCCAGTACCACCCTAAATAAGAAAAGTAAATGAATTATTACATCTTATCATTGCTGTTTGTATCCACAAATTGTCATGTAAAACACTTCTGTAAAAAATTTTATTACTTTTTCTTTTATTATGTAGCACCCTGAACTCTTTCAGGGTCAAATTTTGTCAAACATTTGCTAGTTTTATCCAAGGATTTAGGATAATTAACATAATTAAGTGGACACCCCTTTTCTGTAAAAAATCGTTTAGTTTTTAAAACATTGTACCCACACAGCACGATATCTTTCTGGAAACTTTCAGAAAGTTTAAAGTGTTCTATCATTTCAAATTATATATAGATTTTAAAGTACCTAGACTAATACATAACACTCAATGTGTAACAATTAATGTGAGATGCATCCCGTCTGTAGTAATATAATAATTTCAGAGTACCTAATTTTAAAAACATTTAAAAACAAATGTTTTACCTCCTTTAGAGTATTCAGTAGCAGTATATAAATATTATCAGCGTAATATGGAATAGATAGTTATAGAAATTGAATAATATAATTAATCTTTTATTTTATCTGGTTAAAATAGAAAAAAGAAATAAAATTGTTATATGGAGGGCGTGAGGAGTATAATTATTTTAATCCAACAGGGATGAGATGGTTTTTTCGCGTGATTGACACGAGTCGATAAAGTTCATATACGCGCATTCATAAATGCGTTGGCGTAGCTCTGAACACCACGAATTTTAGGAATATCTATGTTGCATTTAACATTGGTAAATTGCATGCACCCCTAGGGGATGGTATATAGTTGCGCAGATTTATAAAGTGGGATTTCATGCATTTGTCGGACAGCGGATGCATTGACCGTGCCACGTGCATGTGTTACATCTCTTCGCCTCGGTTTTACTCTCTCATCCCCTCTATATTGCTCTGCTTCAAATATTGTTTCCCCAACCAATCTCGTTGAGATTCACGTTTACTGTTGTATGTCATGTTGAAATGTTGTGAAATAATTGCGCGAAAAAGTGTTTTGGTAACAAACTCACAATTCATTGATGAAAGGTTATGATTTGTGGAGCAGGCAAATTTTTTAATTCCAGTTTCGAATGCTGAAAAATCGTTATGTTTCGATTGCCAGTGGGGTTATATCCTTTATTAATCAAATTGTCTAGATTTCAGGGCTGTCTAGTGTCTATGTTCATTTTTACATATAGAACTTGGAACACTTGTAATGATAGTTCAACCGAGTTCTGTATTCAGCTCTGTACTGAGTTGAATTGAAAAATTATATACTTTTATTCTCAACAGACTTTTTACAATTTCAACTAATGTTGTTGCTCTTTGAATCAAGAATTAATAATTATAAACTATGGATAAAATAAATCGAAAATTTAATTTTACTAGAACATCACTCTAATATTCCAAACGAGAATATTATTATGGAATTCAAGTAACATTACATGCTGCTCAGGTTAATAAAAATATCAAGTTTAATTAAATAGTTGGAGTATATATTATATTAAAAGCAATTGGTCTTCTATTATTGTATAAAAATCGGGACTTGAATAGCGGTTAACACCCTTAAACAACAAACCCCTATTTAAAATGCATTCCCTTTATTACTTGTTTCATGGTCAAAATATATGCAAAATATTCGGTTTATTCAGTTGAAACCGTTCGCTTTGCAATGCGATAAGAATTATTTTGATAAATATGAACTTTACTGTTATGAACGGCTACCCCTAAACACTAAAGAATTAAGGGTAGGAATGTAAATATGCCAGGTTAATTTGAATAGAATTCTGACATATGTACGATAAGTCGTCAATATATGTGAAAAAAATTAATTATACATTTGTACCTCATATAAAATTTTAACTTTGACTACATGTATGAATCACAAAAATAAAGATTTTAGCAAGGCTAATCTAGAAACTTCATCATGTATTCGCGGCCTGCAGAAAGAATCTAGAGGATCAACTAGATAAATCTTTATTTCTCGTATTGTATACCAAATATTATCAAATATCAAGAAGATACAAGAATTATTAAAAATATTTATAGGGAATTTTCGTGATTCAATAGAACAGTTAAATTAAGAACTTTTGACGGTATCAGATAATTTTGATTTATTTCAATTTTAAGTCTTCTTACCGAGTACATTCTTAGTTCTCTTAACTACTTCTAAGGCAGTCAATGGAACTAGTAAAAACTGCTGATAAACTATTAAATTATGCAAAGTAGTTAAAAAGTAGTCAAATAGACTTCTGCTTAATACGCTATTCAGTTATTTGTATTCATGCCAATACGATAATGTATTAGGTTCCTTATGCAAAAAGTGGCAAAAAGTTTATTACCCATGTACAGTTATTGTATAATTATAGGTGTTATTTAATGCTGGTTAGTAGGCAAACGTTTTTTGGACATATTTGGAACATGTTTAGGACACATATGTACAATAGAAGATTAAAAATATAATTTTAATATGATGACTTAAAATGTTCAAAGGAGTTTCCAAATGTATTTAACAGTTCATCCGTAAAACATCTATAAGACACTTTTAGACGTCTTTAGACCAAACTGAAAGACGTTTTTAGCATGTTCGTAAAATCTCCGCTAGGTTTTTATTTTTCCAAAAAATCGCTATTCATGAATATGACACAAATGGTTTGACGTGATGTCTATTACTGTTTTACACGCACTAGTACCGACTCATTAGCTTTGGATTGTCGCGCACCATCGCTAGTGCTTCAGGCACTTCTGGTTCAACAAGCATTTCACACGAGCCATAAACTACAATGCTTAAATTGTTTGCAACAAACACTTCCAGTTAGAATTTTCAGCCTGGCAATGACAAGTGGTTGGGACTTCATTTGGACATTACATGAGTCGTGAACAGCTTAAAGGGAGGGTCAATCCGCTGCGGTCACCCAAAGCGCCGTCTTAAAGGAGTTCCAAGTTTTCAAGGCAGACAGAAAAGATTTAGAAAACGTTAAGAAAGCTTTCGAAGTTTATATTAAAATATTTTTTTCATCAAGACGAATCGATTTGTTTATATAAACTATAAATTGTATTTGTCGCCAAAAATTGTTTGCCTTTGAATACCGTCAAGTGTATAGGTACTATCATGTCATTCCATATAGAAAATTTAAAATTATTAAATTTTACTCTAACATTAGTCACAATTACAAAAATTCTATTTATAATAGTTTTCTAGTTTTCTAAAATTAGACCTTCAATTTCATAAAATTTACAGCATAATATTATGATTAACGAACTCGAAAAAATCTTTTAGTTTTACATATTTCAAAACAAGATTTTTTTGAAAAATATATCCGCAACAATTCCCAGACGAAAATCAGTATAGACTATAACCCATAAATAATAATAATAAATAAAAATTATTTTAAGCAGCTAAAGCTTTCAAAAACAGCTGAAGCTAATAGTTTTAAATACCTTGTCTTTTATAATTTAATGGTGGTTAAGCCATAAAAGACCCCTTTTTATATATGTAAAACGTGAATGCCGATTTGTTTCAAATCGGGCACCTAACGAAATCTGGAAGCTGGGGTTCAACTATATTCTAATTCGTTTTGGGTCCATTCTTCTCTCGGAGGGAATTGTAAAAACGTTGCCAAAAAGGAAAAAATGAAAAATTTTTTACGTAGTCCATTTCACTTATATATACTTACTTACTTACTTACTGTTATACACAACCCACCCCCCATCTCACACGTAATAAATCATAGTTATAAGCATGATCCCTCCCTCCCTTTAAATTGGTAACGATGTTATTATAAACGACCCCTAGTTCCATTTGTA